ATACCTGTTGTTGCAACTGTTGGTAATAATGTTGTGTTTATTTTAATTTAATTTGTATGCGTCGATATACGAATATGATGCGGCGATAGCTACGTAGTGGTAATCTCTGCCTCCCCATCTGGATAACAGGCATGTGCTATGTTGTTGTTTCTGTTGTAATTTAACATGGTGTTGTGTGTTGCAGGGTGATTACCACCGGTATCTGGCGGAGTTCGCGACGGGCAACGACCGCAAGGAGGCGGCAGAGAACTCTCTGGTGGCGTACAAGGCCGCCTCCGACATCGCCATGACCGAGCTCCCGCCCACGCACCCCATCCGCCTCGGACTCGCCCTCAACTTCTCTGTACGTATACCTTGACACCACTATGACACACCTCGCTACATCTTGTCACACTGACTACGCCAAAATTGGACGAATAGATTCTTCGAACGATAGGAGCTATTATCTTTTAAAACATGCAAGTCGTTTCGTCGAAGGGGTAAAATTACTTTCGCCTCGTAAAATGAGCTATGCCTTTCCATTGTAAAAAAAACCATACGTTCATTATGCTGGTATTAATTCTAAATCAAGATCCTTATTGAATTCTCCATGGATCTCGAAGTTTTGCGTCTTCATATTAATAACGACGTAGTGTAACTTTGGCTCACCAAAGTTAGTTAGGCATTTGATAAGATCCCGTACCATCTCGATCCCTAGAGTAATTAAACAGTAGTAATTAAGTAGCGCATCAATGATAGAGCTCAGTTGGTCAGCGGCTCAGTCGGCTGAAGGTCGGGCCTTGGCGGCGGGCGCAGATAAACTGGGTTCAACGTACCCGCGACCTTATCGATAGCTTATAATCTGTACACTGATAATACATACATACATATCGTCAGATTGTCTCACTCGCTATGCCCCCGCTATTAATAATGTTGGGCCTTGAAACACTGATTACAACTTATTTATGTTACAATTTACTAATATTTGATATCCCTTTTGTGTGTTTCATAACATTTGAATTGGGTTTTACCATTGTAAACCACAAATTTGATTAAGAAACTACAGTGGGTTTTTTTGTAATTTCGTTCTTGAATCACCAATGCAACAATTCATAGCATTGCAGATATGTTCCTGTTGGAAAGAATAGAATTATACACATGTTTACAATTTCAGTCAGTTTTTAAATACGGTTGGATCCAAATATACACTTTATCAACTTTGTATTATTATGTAACTAAAGTTATTAATTAATTTTAATTATTTTTAAATACTACTGATTATTCTTATCAGATATCTAGTGACATATCTATATGTTAGCTTATTAGCTTCACTGATAACAATGGATTGTTTCAATTTTTCCTAAGCGCTGAGAAATATGTTTGTTTTACGCATATCATAGTTTGCGTACGAAACATGGCGCAATAGTGAGAAGTAAGTGCTCAGTACAGATAGTGTTGCCTCATGCGGTGACGAACTGTTGCTATCTCTTAATCTTTACTTGTAACTACGTCACACGTTAGTGTCGCCAGTTGTAAATAAATGAGGGTAGTACGTACTGTACCGACCCTCTAGATTGTTGTCTCCTGTACATTGAGAATATGGTTGTTGTGTGTGGGGCAGGTGTTCTACTACGAGATCCTGAACAGCCCGGACCGCGCGTGCCGGCTGGCGAAGGCGGCGTTCGACGACGCGATCGCGGAGCTGGACACGCTGTCGGAGGAGAGCTACAAGGACTCGACGCTGATAATGCAGCTGCTGCGCGACAACCTGACGCTGTGGACGTCCGACATGCAGGGCGACGGCGAGGCGGGCGAGGCGGAGCACAAGGAGGCGGCGCAGGACGTCGACGACCAGGACGTGTCGTAATGCGCCGCGCCACCGCCCCTCGCCCCCTCGCCCTCGCCCTCGCCCCTCGCTCCCTCGCCCTATACTACCACCTGAGTCCCAGCCCTGCGAGCGCGAGCCGCCTCAAATCTACCAGTTACGTATACACTCCATATGTACTACTTGTTGTTTTGATATATCGAACCTTTCTTTTTCTATAAACGACGAATGTCTAATGTTTAAGAAAAAAAAACTAGTACTTTGGTATCGCATTTTAACTGTTCGTTCTTAAGAATGTATTTGTATGGTGAAGGTCGTGTGACCTGTCTCCCGCTCTGCGCGCCATCTCTCGACAGCTACTCTCTAAAGTGGGAATTGTAAATTTTCTAAGTATTTTGTACCGCGTGTAACATTGATTGTGCATTTGCTTGGTTGGTTGGTTGGCGGCGCGGCGGGCGGGCGTCCCTCCCCCGCGCATTACATTTGGAGTATTCACACTTGAATTGCTTTAATTACTTACGAGTATTGTGATAGAGATTTTGTATATTTAATTTATTTTTAATTTCGCATACTTGTCGAGCAGTCGCAGTATAGAGCGCTAGGGCTGCGCCCCGGTCGCGGCACACATTCCAGGCGCGTGCCCGAGTAAGATATTAGCGATATACTTATTTGAATTGTAATATTGCATATATTTTTGTTAATTTATCCACAAAATAAAAATACTGATGCAATTAGCCTTAGTGTTATGCAATATTGATTTATGTCCTACCATCTACATGCAAATTTATTGTAAATGACAGTGTAAATCTAATAATAAAATTCAAAAGTCCAAATGTGTCTTGTTTTATTTGTGTTACTCTCGAGAATGTGTGTTGATGACAAACAGCAGCAAACATAAAAGGTAAGGTGTTTGACAAAAATATACTTGATACAAAATATCATTTATTGCACAGGGATATTAAATATAAACAATAAGAAACTATAATTCCAATATTCGTATTATTATGACAGCGCGTTTGTGACAAGAGACTTTGTTCGTGCGAGTCCTGCGCGCGCAGCAACACAGACAAAATAAATTCGTAAAGCTTAACAACTTATTTACAATTAAATACATTTGGATAATTAGTACAGATTCTTTCGATGTTATACGACTTTAATATTTTACTGAAAACAATTCGTTGAAGTTTTTGAAGGAAATCATTGCAGGTCCCGCCTAAACTAATCAGAGGTGCTTTGGTATTTTGGACAAATGATTTGAATAGCTGATGGCACATAACATCTAAACTCTCGGCGAACTGGCGCCGACAAATCACGAGTATACTAAAAAATAATTATAAACATAGTTTTATGCACCTTGCGTAGCACGGATAATGGATGCGCGCAAGTCATCATACAACTGTTTACGACTGGGTTCTTTATACAGATTACATTTGTTAACTATATAATTTAAAACAAAAAGTACGAGATAAACATGCGTAAAGGGTTAACGGCGACAGAAATGACCTACGAAAGCCTTGTTGTGGTTTATTTATAAAATTTTCAAGTCAAAGTTTGGTGAACTTTGACTTCATCTGTAGGTTAAAAATCTATAATTAAAATCCTGTCTTCTATATGAGGGAAACGATGTAATATTATATAAGACATGATTCGCGCGCATCCACCATTGATAATATCATATAACTTAAAAATATTCACAAATAACTTAGCTATCGCTTTGCGCGACACGTTTAGTGTTGCCAACATTATGAGCAAATATATCTACCAGTTAACACCGTTCACTTTAACACTTTCAGTTGGCAACACTTAACGTACCACAAACGCAGCGAGGTAATACCAACATAAATTAAATCAAAACTAACATAAATTTAAAAACATTAAATTGAATTAACTTACATTAAATAACAAAAAATTATCTACCTAAAAGCAATGCAACATCTTAGAGCAGGCTTTTAATATATTATTAAGTGCCGTTGTTGAGAACAACAGATACAAATTAGAAAAATACGGTCTATTTCCTCTGCATTTTTCAACGTTGTAAATGTTGATCGCAACTCTAACATGTAACTAATTTATAATATATACATTTGATAAAAAAAAAATCGAAACACTAACTTTTTGCAAAGAATGCCACCTGTGGTCGGATTGTTAAAAACAATCAATGAATAGTTTTACGATAAAATGCAAAATTAAACAGATGGTTAAAAATAATCAGTGGATCGATTCTTTCATAAATTTAAATACATCAAACTACATTATAATATACAATCACATTCAGTCTATAATTAAAACTTTACCTTCCGATTGATCTTCACTTGAATCTCACAATTTATCATTCAACTGGTCCCAACTTATCTATCGGAATGTTTATATCATTGTAAAGAAACAAATTTATAGCCAAAAACAACTCAGTTTCACATATTTAAAAAGCATACATCTAAAGGTTAATTTACAGATTCAGGAATTTAACGAACAACTGCTTCAGAGTGAGACAAATGTATAGAATTAAATACGACTGTCTCGCTTTATAATATCTGCCGAACGCTGTTCCTACGATTCCGGTTTTTGTGTAAAGTAACCTTAACACGTTAGCTGCCACAATGATTTTTCGAAAAACTATTTTTTTTTTTAATTTTGTTCAAAACCATTCGAATGGGGCCTTACAGGACACGCTGTATACAACAATTCGATTAAAAAGAGTCCGACAAGCCACAGCGAGGCGTTGAATGGAAGTATGGCTTGTCGGACACATAGTCCGACACGACCTGATTGAAACATTAGCATGTCGGACATATAGTTCGACATGACAGCTAACGTGTTAAATCTAAATAGAAAATATAATGCTTTATAATATTCATATTAAATTTAAGATTTTATGATTTTAATACGACGAGTTAATATTTAAAAAGCCGTGCTAAAATGTGCCAAATAATCATTTTTTTTTTATTTATAATTTTGAAGCAATTGCAAAACTCTTTCATGAAATTTTATTTTCAATATTATCTTTATTTTGGTGTATATTTAAATAATTATTGTACTATTGTAAAATACTGGGCAGTTTTCTTTATATATTTAGCTACCAATATAATGACACCAATTACAAATTTTACTCCATTAAATATTATAGATTATTTTACAAATATTCATTCAGCATATAATGTTAATTATTATAACATGAAATATTAATAAATGGCTTAAAAACATTTCTGATTTATTATTATTTTTATTAAATTATTGAAATATATTCAATTTTATGATGTTTACTTCATTCCGTGTCTATAGAACGAAAAAAATACTATATCCATCAGTTCCTTGTGTACAATCACAAAGTAAATTACATATAATTTGAGAAACTTATAGCAAAATATCGCTGTTGATAATTCTTCTCAATTGTATTTTGAAAAAGATCGTTGAACAAGTTCTTATATGATAATACAAATGTACATATCCAACGATTGTTCGCGACTGTACAAATTGGTAAGTCAACTCTATAATATGACCAGATTTAGGATTAGCACAAAATAACATCATACTGTAGCTGTACCTCATATATTACTTTGGGCGCCATCTTTAATGGCGTTGATGACGTCACATGCAAGATAACGGTGACATACGAGTTATACATGTTTAGGATGCTGTTATATCCTTTATGCCAGTACAGTAAGACAGTAGCGCAATGACAGCTAGTATTTACATTAAGCCGATTTTGAGTGCTAATGTCTTATTCTGTAGTAATGTAAAGTAGGCATTAGTTTAAGGTTGTTTAGGTCATGCGAGCACGCACATGTTGCGCATATCCGCGTCGTCTGCGTCTGGTGGTGGTGCGGGTGCGGGGTGGTGCGCACGCGCAGGCAGGTAGCGCCCGTAGTCAAGTCCGCGTCTCTCGTAGAACAGCAGGTACGCGGCGGCTGGCTGCACGTCGCGCGCGCCCACAGCGCGACACGAGCTGTCGTTGTAGCAGAGCCACGCGCCCGAGGGGTTGTGCGCGTACGCCACGTAGTGACCGCCGTGCAGCTGCCCCGTGTGCGACTGTCAACACATACACCTTAACTGTCTCTTACTCTCACTACGTATAAACAATATATGTAACAGAGATAGCAATATTTTTGCTATTCATTTTTTATTTTTGTTTTTATATTATAAAATAGCAATCAACCAAGCGGCCTCCTGAATTCGACCACTGCCCATATACTTCTGTAATTTGTTCTTCTGTAAGTTCTGTAACTGCGTTGACTGACTTTATTCATAGGACAGAACACACAGAAAGAGGATATTTCCCCATCCTATGCGTCCCCTCCTCTGCCAAATCCATTACCCCTTCCGATCATATCCTGATAAGAAAAGGGTGGAAAGGGATCGTGGAATAAAGTTAGGACTCTACTCATATAACAAAGAGTAGAAAATCAAGCGTAGAGGCCCTTTTGCAAATAGACCAACAACTGCATGAAATATGTAAAAGCCAACAAATCTGAGAAATCTAATTTCTTTCATTTCCATACTACTAGAATATTTCCAAGTATAATAGTGACAAAATAAACTAACCACAACAGCATACAACTTGTACTTCAAATCGAAAGGATCCTGCTCCTTCTCGAGGTGGTGCTGGTGGTAATCCACCAGATTATCATCAGTGACTGGGGTTGCCGTCAGACTGGTGGACTGCAGCCGCGCCCGCCCCTTCAACTCCACTGACTCCCGTCGCCTCTCAACGTTACTCTTACTCGGAGCTTCTTCTCTGCTACTCTCATCTTCCTCATCAGAATTCTCGCTCTCCGTCTCCGATATGGGACCTTCGACGTCAACAAACATGGAGGATCTTCGTCTCATGCTCTTCAGCTCACGATGCCTGAGGATGGTCTCTTGCGGCACTGAGGCGAGGTACGGTGTAGGATCGAAGTCTTCGAACGGGAAGTTGACCACTTTTTGGGATTTAATCCATTTGTTGTTCACGTATTGGAAACGTTTGAGATGAATAATCTGTTGGATATAATTGGAATTAATCTAATCATACACCTTCAGATTTTTGCTAAGAGTTGGATCGTGGTTGGATTTTGAGTATTTTAGTTCTTTATACTAGCTGTCGCCGGTGACTTCTTTTGCGCATTTTTAAACAAAAGTAGCCTATAACACGGCCTCTTGCCTCAGCTACCTTCCCGTCCAACTATTCCTGAGATTATCCGGAACAAACACGGCTTATAGACAGACATACAGACAGACAAACAAAAATTGGCATTTCTTCCTGAACAACACAAATACATGTTTTCAAAATAAGTTTTTTTTCCATATTACATAAAGAAACTCCAATTTAAAAAATATAAGTACCAGTATGGGAGGTGCGCGCCAGATCTGCAGCTTCTTGGTGGCGGGCTGCGCGGTGCGGCAGTGGTCGCAGTGGTAGCGCTGCTCCAGCCGCTCCTCAGACGTGAAGGCGGCCAGGCAGCTCGCCAGGTCCACCGGCCGCGCTGATGCTGCACCGCACTCCGCCACTGACGAGTGCTCCACCCATGCCTACGTATCAACATTTTCTTATTTGAAAACATCGTTTTGAACAGTACATGGGTTTTTTATTATGTAACTCTAAAATTTGCTTAATTTCCTTCCTTTAGTGACTAATTAATTACAGCTTATTAAAACTATACATTTATCGTTGGTTTCTGAGGTCAAAATCTCTCTAAAAACATATCCTTGTCATTATATTTGATAAAAGAGACAGAATAATACAATTTATTGGTAATAAAAAATTACAGCTCATAAGAGTACGATTTACATTTTTTTTTCAGTCAAACAAATTCCTTATAAATCTCAGAAAGCCACGGTTAGAGCTCTTTCCTTATTTGTATGTACAGACCCTCTCTCTGGTGGCCTGGTATCTGAGATGTAGCGCGGTGGGTTCCCAGTCTATGGCGAGCAGCAAGCCACGTCTGCGCGCCGCTCGTAGCGCCCCCATTGATAAATACGACACCTCGCCGCATCCCACATCTCCCTGTATAACACAATTCACACATCTTACTACTCTTTAATGGTTCTTGATAAGATTTCATCATCATCATCAGCTCACTATACCTCCCCACCGAAGGTCTAAGGAGCCTACCCTAAGTTAAGGGTCATTAGGCCATCAACCACGCTGGCTAAGTGCGGGTTGGTTGACTTCACACATATATTTGAATTTCTTCTCAGATATGTGCAGGTTGCATCACGATGTTTTCTTTCACCGTAAGAACGTCAGATAAATGTGCATATGTAAATCGAAAATTGAAAAACACATTGGTACATGGCGGGATTCGAACCCAGGACCTGCTGATTGCAAGTCAAGTGCTTGACTCCTGAGCCACCAACGCTCATGATAAGATTTATCTTAATAAATATGATTAATAGAATACATTGAGTTGCCATACCGAGACGTCAGCAGTTAGTCTGGCGCTAGTCTGTCGCTGCAGCTTGGCGCGTGCTGCCGGAGACCCGCCTGCCAGACCACACCCGCTGTCCACTGACACCTGCGACTCTGTACATAACATTCAATATTAATACTGAAGCGCGAGAATACGAAACTCTTAAAATATTTTTGACAAGCTATCAACTAAGTTCTAGGTAAGTACTAGGATGTCATATACGAAAAAAGTCGAATGAATTCGGACCAACGATCGTGAAGACTAATGACCATACTTTTAATCATTAGACTACTACCACTTATCATGGGACAAACATCAATATTTGTGTGATCAGTCCATCACAGGTAAATTACAAAAGTATCCAACTCGAAGGATCATCTTACAATTACTTTATGTAGTTTAGAGTTGTTTAACGATTACTAATACTCCCATAGTATTGGATTTTTATTTAAAAAAATCTACTAAAGGAAAATTGAAGTAAGAACATGAAATAAATTTAGTGCGTACGTATCTCACCGTATATGTGTGTATCCGCGTACGTGTCTGCGTGCTCGTGCTCGTGTTCGTGTTCGTGTTCGTGTGTGTGCGGGTCACGCAGCAGCGGCTTGTGGTCGCTGGGCAGCGCACAGCCGCGGCAGAGTGCGGGCCAGGCGCACAGCGCGCACCACGCACCAGACCCGCACACCAGACGCAGCGTGAACGGGAACTCGTACCCCAGACTGTCGTCACTGCAAATACACATAACTTTATTTTATCTATACAGTATCTAAAGTCTATAGACGCTGTTCAAAGATATTATTTCTTTTTTACTTCATTTCTAGTACAGTTTTTATATACTTTATATATTTTCAGATATCATGGCAGCTTTTAAATTAACACAAGTCCCTGCTGATCTTAAATCAATGTTTTACACAGCGCCGATGATCTTGAGCCGCCAAGATATTTGTAAAAAGATCAACGTTATAGTGTACAGTGGAAAGTCAGAGGTAGTTATGGTCTGACCAGTCAGCGGCGTGGTTGGAGAGGTCCCTGGCGGCGTGTGAGGGGTGTGAGGGGTGAGGCGGGCGGGGCGGTCGCGGGGAGAGCAGACGCGCCAGCTGTGCCCAGACGCGCGCGTACAGCTCGCGGCCCGGCTCGCCCGCGCGCACCGCCACCACCAGCGGCACGCCGAACAGCGCCGGCCGCACGCGCTGCCACGACAGGAAGAACGCGTCCGCGCGGCACTGCTTCCTGCACATCACCACACCACACATACATACAACACGTAACCACACACTCTCCTTACACTTAACACCCACTAGCTATGTCCAGTACGAATGGCCAGTTCAATTCGCCGAAATGGCGAAGCGACTGTTGCCTATAGATACCCGCTATTGTACTTGCGTTGCCTCCCTTTAATCAACAGAAGAGGAGACGCACTGAAAGAGAATATTCCTTTTCTACGCGTACACTCCTTCGTCAAATCCCTTTCCCCTTCTTATCTAATAATAGCTGTTTCACAAATAGCGCACTTGACTGGTGCAATACCACAAGCACACATAAGACGAAATAAAGTTAAATTAATTCCACGTTTAGCCTGATAAGTGCGGGTGCTGGAGGCAAAATCAGTATCCTCCATCCTTCATGCAGTGGATTTATTGAATAAGAACATAAATATTTTTCTGTGCATCTTACCTGTGTACAGCAACCAAATACTGAATAGGTGGTCCATCTATCTCATCCATGTTGTACATGTGAGAGGGAGAGGAGGCGAACTTGACCTTGGAGAGTGTCGGTGCGGGGGGCGGCAGTGTGAGCGAGCGCCTCCCCCCCGCGCCGCGCGGCAACGTGTGACTCCGCCCCTCGCCCTCCAGCTCCGCCCCCGCGCTGTGGAACGTGCTCGGCGGACTCTGGGACATAAGAATTTCCGATCTCGAACGCTGAAAGACACATTAACATGCGTGTCAACAAAAAACAAGTGCAACAAAAAATAAAAAAAGCAAATCTATAAGCGTATATACAAAGTTTAATTCGCTTGAAAGAGTTTCAAAGAACCATTTAAAAAAAATCAAGCTATTTTATATTAATTATGGCAAAAAAAAAATTAATAGACTTAAAAAAAAGCTTTAAGTGTTTATAGGAAAATAACAAACAACTTAATAAATGCAAGACAATTCTTTATACAATTTTACAAAACAAAATCACCAAAAAATTTATATATAATAAAATAATATGAAAAATGCGTGTCCGAAAAGAGGTTGCGACATATTTTTTTTAAATTTTATGATCTCTTGTTTTAACTTGTTCAAAATATTTGCATTTAAAATTCCTTAAAAAGCCAGCTTTTCTTTTCCAACACTTTTCTATTTTATTTAATTGTAAACCACACAAAAACAATTAATTTGTTAGTAAGCAACATTTAGTCATGTAGAAAAAATTCAGCATCAAATCTCTCAAAAACTTTAAATATAAAAAAACAAAATTTTATAGCTGAATATTTATTCTACACGACTAAAGAGAAAAAACTAAAATGATTATTTTTAAAACACACAAAATCGATTTTAGATCCGAGATTACATTAAAATTAAAAAAAAAAAATTGTTACAAAAACTGGCAACACTACAAATGCGACTTTTTATTAATCTGTGTTTTGCATCCTAGCATGTCTGTGGTATTATAATATTTAATTAGCTATATTTTGACAAATATATCTACAGATGTATTAAATGAACGATGGATAGTGTGAAATAAATCGAAATTATTTAATTTACTTGTAAAATTTTTAAATTACCTTTGTTGTCGAGACAAACATCTGACGGCGAAGCATTTTAAACATGGCGACGAAAATCGAACATTTTTAAACATTAATATCTTTTAATAATTTTTTTTTACATTTTACCTGATATTTATGTTTCAAAAAAATATGTTACCGTACATCCAAAACTAGAAAAGCGAAAAAATAATTATTTTTTAAAACGGATCATTTCATCGTTTAGTCATGGATTTGTTAGACACAATATAATAGGGCTTTGTAAAGGTATTAAAATGGACCATTACGAATTACTTTCAATAAAATGAATCAAATATAATATATATAAAATAACTCAACCTTTGGAAATAGCAAACAATTTCAAATTACTTGGACCTATTGAAACATTAATTTGCTAGATTAAAAAAAAAATCGTAATCGTCCATGCGCGTGCGCATGTTTAGGTGTGCGTGCGTGCGTGCGTGCGAGTGCGTGCGCGCTAACCTTGAAGCAGAAGAGCGCGGGCATGCAGAGCGAGGCGGCGCGCACACTCACCGAGCCCGCTCCCCCCGCAGCCCCCGCGCCGCCGCACGCCCCGCCCCCGGACACGCCCTCCGCCCCGCCCCCCTCGCACCACACGCCGGCGCCGCTCCACTCTACGCAGAACATATCGAATGATAACAACCTATTCCTCTGATCTTCGAATCGATTAACTTGAAAAAAACATTGCAATCCTAATACCAGGATCACAGTACAATCTTAAAAACATATGCACAAAGTTGATAACTAAGGGTATCTTTAGACTAGAAATGAACAAAGAGCATTCGTTAATATTATATGAGAAAAAACAAATTAAAAATTTATTCTCTTTGAATAAGTAAGAAACAGTTTCATAATTAAAAATACTTCAATCAATGTTTATATTAGTGGAAAAGGGGTTTAAACATCATCAACAGAGATTTAAGTAGTTAGTACCATGCATGTCGTGTTGTGGTGCAGGTATCTCGTAAGCGAAGAGCTCAGTGGCGCCGCTCGCAGTCAGTTTGGCGCCGTCCTCCGGCAGCCGCGATATTGTCGCCCCCGACACTAGCGCCACCAACATGCTGCCAACATTGTTACAATTTTTATCTAAAATATACATTTTTAATTCTACATTCCAGTGAAAGTAGTACAGAGAAAAATGCCTGATCAAGAGTAACACTGAATATATCCTAGACATACAAAAAAGACTTTACTTTTTCTTCCAAAGTACCAAATACTTTATGGACTGTAGTCATACTAACGACTTCCATTAAATTTAATTCAAAAATAAGTAATTTTTTAATATACGTAATAACAAATCTTTATAAAAAAATGAAAGAAAGGAAAACATTTTTTTTAAATCGCTAGAATAAAGTGTTAAAAAATATGACAGATTACTCTTGACGCTAGCGCCACCTACAAATACCTTTCAGTTTTTTTTCCTAATATCACTGAATGTAGGATTCACGCTCGTAACGTAGTTGGGTGGGCAGTACCTCCTTACCATTCAGGCGGCAATCCGCAAAGTTCTGATAGTTTCTTCTTTAAATCCAAATACGTGCCTTCAGAGTTCACCCGCAGACCGTACTTCACAGGAACAGAGCCATTCAATAATATTACTGTAAAAGAAATAAAACAATAAACATGGTTGAAAATTCTTTACAATAAATAGTATTTTATATTTATCACCAAAATTACTACTACTAAACTCAAAAACTCCCGAATGCAATAAAAAATGCATAGTTTCGAGACCAAAAAAAATATTTCAAAATTCTTTCAACTTTTCAAGATTCCGTCAAACTAAACAAAAACAAGCTTATTACTATTTGATTATACTTTTAATAATATCCCGTATTGAGGTAGTTTTTGAGTTTATCAAGATAAGCAAAAGTGTGGGGGGAGGGGGGGAAGAGGGGGTTGTAAATATTTTGCATACCTCTGACCTCGCAGCGTACAAAGGACTCCATGGGCAGCGGCAGACTGAGCATATTGAATGTGTCGAAGCGCACAGACTCGCGGCCGCACGCGTCACACCGCACCTTAGACTTGAGCTGGCCGTAGAACAGGTCCGTCATTATCGAGTCATTGGACGCCGTGAACTGCGCCCACGCCTCCGCAGCCACCTCCTGTATATAAGATAAACAATCAGTACTCAATAATATTCACATTTCTGAGTCTTGTCCAAAAACAAAGAACATGTAAGCTCCAACCGTACCCCAGTGTCCCTAAGTTCCCAAGGTCGCTAAGGTGAAATTATATCTAGATCTTGCTGTAGTGTACTATTCAAAATTGTATTTGTTGAACATAGTAAGTGACCTGGTCCGGCCTGGTAGGCGGGGGCGTGTCTGTGTCTTGTGGCGGAGGCGAGGGCGGGGGCGGGGCAGGCAGTGGGCGGGGCGGGGCGGCACGGTTGAGGTCCTCGTGCAACGCGTCCAGCAGCCAGGCCAGCAGCTCCTGCGCGTCGTGCTGTCCGCCGCCCGCAAGCCCACGTGCGTGTCGCGACACACACCAGCGCACGCGCAGCGGTGCCACAGACCGCGCGCTGCACGACCACACCTAAACACATATACATAACTTAATTAACTTATTGCTGCACTCAGAGTTAACAGCTACTTAAACAATTGCTTTATGTAGATTTCTCCTTCTAAATCTAGTCTATGGAGTCCCTAAACGACTGTCTCAACTTAGTAGTTTCGTATGAGACATAACAAAAATTATCCGCCTCAAAGGACTAAGTCTCGAAGCATAAAGCGTCGTAACAAATCAAACATACCTCTTTACATAGTTCGCCGTAGCGCAGCGCCAGGGCGCCCTTGGTGCCGAGGGGGTTAGTAGTGTTCACCTCGTACAAATGCATGCCGGAGTTGAAGTACCGTGTCAGTGGGCCCGTGTTCCACACCTGACAAATAAAAAATCGATGTTTAAATCAAATATAAGTACCCCAATATCGGCCGAAATCGTTAAAGACAAACTTATACCGTCCAGATTGAACTAAAACTTAGGGGCATTGTATGCGTAGATGTGTGAATATAGAAAAAGAAAAACGTGTACGTATACGTGTGTGTTCGTGTAGTGTGTGTATGCGTGTACGTGTGCGTGTACGTACAGACTGCAGCGCGGCATTCATGAAGCATGTATTGCCGAGGTTGTGCAGCCCGGTGGCGCCCGCCACGTCCGGCGCAGACAGTGTCTCGCGACGCTCCACGCCGCGACCACCGCTCATACTGCAACAAATCTTATTTACATTTCAAAACCTACTCATATATTCAAACCTATAGTTAAATTTCGAATACGATCTCCAGCTCATTTGCCTTCTCCTGTAATAAATCTTTTAAATCTCGCTCTAAAATGATCCGATAGTACTTGCTTAAATTGGTACGCGTTGCTATAGTTTAAGATTGTTAATAAAAATTACTCTTGCTATGTCATAGACGGTGTTTGACGCATTCCTACATCCAACAATTGCGGTGTTACCTGAGCGCGCCTATCTCCTCAGGCCAGGTGAGATCTGGGTTACGCAGCTCCAGCAGCAGCCGGGAGCGGTCTCGTTCATGCAGACGCAGTTCGTGCAGTGACGGACGCTCGTCGTCCAGCAGCAACGCCCCGCCCCCACCGCCGCCGGCCCCGCCCCCCACTGACCACAGCCGCACGTCCTCGCGAGCCAGACCTAGCGCCTCGCATAGGAACTCCGTCACCTAAACGTAAATACCGATTTTAAAGCTAGTACTAAAACTATGTAATGAACTAAAATAGACATTGTTTTGTAAATTTAACTAACAGATATACTCAGAGAAGTCTGATATTTGTTTAAGCAGTCTTTTGGTAAAGATTTCTCATTCTAAGGGTGATTTTAGTGCTGGTTTAGCGACTCTGAGTGTGACTGTAAGAGAACTTTAGAAGTTTTCTAATTTATTTTTTAATTTAAAAAGTATCAAATTTAAAAAGTCAATGCATGTATACAGCAGTGATGAGTTCACCTGTTTGACAGTGGCGAGGCGGGAGAAGGCGGCTGTGTACGCGAGCTGTGTGTCGGGCGGTGCAGGCGCGGCCGGCACGCTGCTGTACAGCGCCGCGCCCGCCCCGCCCACACCCGCCCCCACACCGCCCACATTCATTCCTACACAACAACAACAAAAATCAAACATTTAATACTACATTACTACGAACTACTGCACAAAAACTCTTCACAATCTATTCACATGACATAATAACTATTTTTAAACATTAATTAGAAACCTTTGACGCGAATGACGTGCTTTAGTTACAAAGTCAAGTGTCAGAATGATTAGTGAGGGGACATAGACGTGGACATTTTAGTAAGGCTAGTGTTGTGCCAGTACACCGGCACAGTGTCGGATTTTCTTCCTAACACTTAAGCATTTGCTTCTGCTTTCTAAAACCAAAATCTTTTCATAAAACATATTGTCATCCTTCATTCTTTGACAAAACGGAGATATCAAATGTTTTAAACGAGGAATTTCTAAACATTAGAAACCCACAGTAAATATTTGTTTGAAAACTAGCTTTTGCCCGCGACTTCGTGTGCACGGAATTAAAAATACTTATGTAGCCTATGTATTCTTCCAGACGGTGTTCTATCTTCTATATTCTTCTATCTATACTTAATTTCATTAAGATCTATGCAGCCGTTCTAGAGGTCTAACAAACATCCATCCATACATTCCAATTTATAATATTAATAACACACAATACAAGAAAAAAAAATTCGATAAAGAAAACAGAAATGTATATAAAATGTACTAACGTGGTGTACTTGGCACGTGTCGCAGTATCTTCAGCTGCAGCGGGTAAAGTTCCATTTCAACATCCGAATTTGGAGGTCTGATCACCTGCAGATAAAAAGACGAGTCATTTACTCCCATAGCGCTATTAATTTGTCACTAAGGAAAACCCTTAGTGTATTTTTTCCACTAAGGGAAAAATAAAACTAACAAATTAGCGGTCACTTGAATTCGCTAAAATAGCGAAGAGACGTTGCCCGTAGATATCAGAATTTACGGATGCGTTGCCTACTATTACGACAGGAGACGGACATTATGGCGACATTTCACTTCTTAAGAGTACCCTTCTATGCCAAATATCTTTCCATTCACTTCGTATTAGAAAAGGGTGGGAAGGGGAAGACTAAAATAATAATTTCTTTGGTATGCCAATAGATTCTAGTACCCCCTAGGCAAATTATCAGTTTATTGTCACCTGTCTTGGCAGAGGGTCAGGTCCGCCGTACCAGAGCGCCATTGCGCGCCAGAGCGAGTCGGGCAGCAGCTCGAAGTCCCTGTGCTGCGCGAGTGTGACGTCACGCCGCAAGTGTCCGCCCTCGCCAGTCAGCGTACGCACCTACATACAAAGCTATTTAGCTTAACTTTATAACAAAGAAAAAAAACAGATGTACAGTCGCGGTAATCAGCGGTGTACCACAATTCCCCACTTTTTTAACCGATAACATAAAAAACAATTAGTTTTGTACTACTGACCAATACTTTTAAAACACATTAAAAATCTGCTGTCCAATTGATTGTTTGCACGTCGTGTCTTTATGGAACACCGTCAGTTTCCCCGACTGTACAAAGTGTTGGTTTCTTAGTATACCTTAAGTTCGTCCCTGGCCAGCAGACGCCTGTTGTCGATGGGTCCGGGATGAGGCGGCGAGCGATGTGCAGGCGCACTGCTCACGCCGCTGCTACTGCCCGCGCTGCCGCTGCCCAGGGAGGACGTCTCCGCACGCCACAGCAGCGACCCCATTGACTCTGAACACATATTTAACTCTTACACACTATATATTATATTTCTAAATAGAACGGTATGGTAACTCTTAATAATATTATAGATAAGAGAAGGCGCTGTCTCCCGAAACCCAGTTTTAATTAGTCCAGGAGATCCACCAATTTTGTGAACTGCTTTATTTAATTTTTTAACATCATTTAATTTAATTCAAATTAAACAACAATCATGCCCTAATCCAGTTGGGTGAGCAGAAACCAAAAAAATTAAAAAAAAACATAAAAATCCTTTATTGACCAAATAAAAAACATTTTCACAAAAATTTTGTGGGCTCTGTCTCCTGAACTAGTAACCAAAGACATTCGTATGCACCATAAGTCTATGTATTTTTCTTTATGTATATTATCAAATCTTAAAATATTAGAAAAGATAAAATAACGACTGGAATATATACTACACTAGTATATATTACGCAGTTGATGAAATTATATAACAAAAATATGTATTCGATTGTTGATAAGATCATGATAGTAAAATTGGGTTATACGACATACAGACTACTTCGTACTTTACGATTTAAGTACATTTTGAGAAATTGTTACTATTTAATAAACATATAACTATGTAATCACTGAAATTAATATTCCATATTAAAACTTTTTTTTTTCTTTTAATTTTTTTTTTAGTTATTTACTCATAGTTACCCATGTATAAACATGATTTGCAAGAAAGTAATAGAATCGTAAGTAGCTAAAAGTGGAAGACTAAAGAAAGTATAGATGGATATTGGAGAATATGCTTGTATGGAGAATCTATTTAGATAGGACAGCTTTTAGAAATGTATGGAAGAGCAGTAAATAATAGAAGCCGTATCCATCATTTACACTAGACTCCTGTAACTAACCTATAGAGTTATTGATAAAGATCTCTCAGTTTTAGAGTTGGTTAGTTCTCTCACCTGTAGAATTACTAGTGAAGCTCTCATCACAGACGATAGCATCATCTATAGCTCGGGGGGAGTTCCGGCAACAGCTGTCCCCGGCCGCAGTGTAGGCAGCCCACGCCGCCCACCACTCACTGCCTACTAGGTACCAGAACTGACCCACCGAGTACCCGCGAGCTGTCTCACGACGCAGCCACCGGATCACTGGAATAAAGGGTTATGGTTAACGAAAACAAAAGAGATAAATTATGGATATCAGTTGCAAGAAATAAGGTGATTCTTTCTTCAGCATATTAACAATGTAGTTTAATTATGTTTTTGTTAGTCTCTTCATCGTACCGATCAATCAGCCCTATTGATTTATGTCCTACCCCTTTTTCATGGGTCCTTTAAAAACATTGTTAAGACGCTATATCTGATTAGATATTTTCAAGCAACAAAATTTGAACGATTGTGACGGTATTTGAGACGGAAAGATGATGCTTGCAGGCATAGTATAGGCTTTTTTTTAAATTCTGTATTGAGGAAATCACAGCCAACCACTAGTGAACAAATAAGACTGCGTTGACCTATAAACATAAATACTATTTGGTCTTACAAGTATGTTTCGTACATTGTTTATCTATTAATTAGTAATGGGGGCACGTCACGCGTGTAACCTCATTGTTTGTTTGTTTGTTCCAATTAGTATATTGATATGTTGCATCGATAACATAGTTACGGTAACCGTGTACTTTACTTTTATCGTTTAATAACTACTGTAAGCTACCGAACTCAGAGACGTTAAACAGTAGCGAGTTAGAATGGATTCAGTATGGTAAATCTATACTAAAGTAGCTGTCACCCACTCCGTTTGCTCAGAAAAAATCTTAATTAGTTGTCTATGTGTTCTTCCATAGATGTAGAGTACATCTATGTCAAATTTCAGCGAGATCCTTTCTTCCTTTCTGGTGATATCTTCTAACAAACATCCATCCATCCATCTAAACATTCGCATTTATATTAGTAAGATTATTTCAGTAAAACTGTAAATTACACTATTGATCTACAAATATTGTTTACGAACAATTATTGAATTTAAACCAGTAATTAATAAAAAGAAACAATAAACCTATTGACTGTACATAGGAAAAAAAGATCGGAATTCACCGAATTTTTAAATCAGTCATGTTTAATCACATTAGAATGAACATAATCGCAAAAAAATAATATCAGCGAAAACATATAATGTTGTAGATTAACACGTTAGCTGCCAGAATGATTTTTCGAAAAACGATTTTTTTTTAATTTTGTCCAAAACCATTTGAATGGGGCCTTGCGGGTCACGCTGTATACAACAATTCGATTAAAAAGCGTCCGACAAGCCACAGCGAGTTGTTGAATGGAAGTATGGCTTGTCGGACACATAGTCCGACACGATCTGATTGAAACATTAGCATGTCGGACTATATGTCCGTACTATCCATATCATGATACACGTTAGCTGTCATGTCGGACTATATGTCGTTACGGCCAGTGTTCAAACCTATTTCGAACACTGGCCGTAACGAAAGATTATAAGAAGTGTGACGTTTTAGTTTTAAGAAAAAAGTATGAACATCTGCAATAAAGAACCTGGAGTGTAAGAAATAATAGTTTTATTGACAAGATCGCTCACATATAGGATGTTTCGTATTTTGAGTTATGTATTTTTTAATTAACATTTATTTAAATCAATATTAACATAATCTTAATTTAATTAGCTATTTTTCAATTTTTCTCGAAAAACAAACGTCCTGTTTATCTATATCGCAACAAATATATCAAGATAAATGTATACATAATAATAATTACTTTATCTATTGAAATCCTTTTATAAACAAATGTTTACATTTTAAATGATATAATTACAAGAAATTAATTAAAATGATAATAGAATTGTTTTCTTTATTACATTTTTGTATTACTTTAAATAATAGAGAAAACAAAAAGATTCAAAACAACAACAAAGTTTATAAACATCCTTTTATTTATACTCTGTGAAACTATCACAATTTACCGTGAGTTTCCAAGATCAAAACATCCGCTTAAAACATATCGTCATCCCTGTCATTATCTTTGACTAAACAGAGATAGCAATATGTTTTAAAAGGAGATATTGGTCTTAGATTGGAATGTGTGAAAGATATGCGTAAGAAGGAGATAGATTCAGGCATGACGGCTGTTAGAGATGTATGGAGTAGTACATACTGTTCCTAACCTTAGGAACAAGGGCAAGATGATTGAGATTTTGATTTTAGAAATCCACGTTTTGACTAGCATAACAATTGGTGTAAAACAACATGGGAATGTCTTGTTTGCTTTGTATGTTCCCAAGTGCTACGAACCCGACAATGTATACGGTCTCCTTGGCATAAGTTTGATTAACATATTTACTAACTCCACAACTGTTTAATACATCTAATTGAAATTTGGTACCGATATAGAATATAGACTCGAGTAACACGACCAAGTCACGGGCAAGTGTTAGGTTAACATATAGTAAAGTGAATTTTGAGCGTCGGTGGCTCAGTGGTCTAACGCTTGACTTGCAATCTGCAGGTCCTGGGTTCGAATCCCGCCATGTACCAATGTGTTTTTCCATTTCCGATTCACATAAATAAATTTATCCGACGTTTTTACGGTGAAGGAAAACATCGTGATGCAACCTGCACATATCTGAGAAGAAATTCAAATATATGTGTGAAGTCAATCAACCCGCACTTGGCCAGCGTGGTTGACTATGGCCTAGTCACCCCTAACTTAGGGTAGGCTCCAAGCCCCTCGGTGGGGATATATAGTGAGCTGATGATGAAACTGAATTTGTATAATATGTTTAGCTTATTTGAATAAAGGAATGTAAAACATAATGTACGTTTATGTACAAACTTCCGGTCTTAGAATAAACTAAATCATCCGAGTAATTTATTTATATTAATAAGGAATTAAAATATCAAATCGCTGATTTTTTATGTCTTTTTAAGTATATATGATTTAAATTTTATTAATGATGATTTTTGTGTGTGCTTGGACATTGCGATCTTGGAAATTTTATGAATATTTATTAATTCAAATTGAAAATTAAAAAATTCCAAGGTCTTTAATGTTTCCGTATTTTAATAAATTTTTATAAAAATAATATATGTGACAAACTAATTCGTATTTTTGTATCGAAGGAAAATACTATAATTTATAGTATTATCGCAAGCAGTAGAAAAAGGCTAGTATTACTAATATTATAAATGCGAATGTTTGGATGAATGTTTGATAGAAGGTATCTCCAGAACGACTTCATGGACATTGCTGAATTTAGCATAGATGTAGAACAGTTCCCAATGTGGGAGATAACGCCCCCTTGTGGGCGCTGCAGGTCTCAAGTTGCGGGTTATAGTAAAAGTTACGTTTAGAATTCTCCGTTAATATACATATATAGGTCACAATAATTAATTAATTTAATTTGAAGTTATAGTGGTTTTTAAATATGTGAAAATATGGGGTCGCTAAAAATATTTATTCTCAAAGTGGGCAGTAGACAAAATAAGTTTGGGAACCACTGATGTAGAACATAGTCTGGAAGAACACATAGGTTACAAAGATTTTTTTTTAATCCCGCGCGAACGAAGTCGTAATCTTCAGCTAGTATGTAATATAAACAAAAGCCTGTCTCCGCAAACATATTCAATGGCATAGTATATATTTAACACCAACATATAAAGGTATTTACTAACTATTGTTATCATTGCATTGAAATTTGCACAAATAGTCTTTATCCCAGATACGAAGGTAACGTATACTGATTACATTTATTATAATAAATAGAGAGAGAGAGAGAGAGAGAGAGAGAGACCTTCAAACATCCATCCATCCATTTAAACGTTCGCACTTATAATATTAGTAAGAAGTAAAATAATTATGCCAAAGAGAACGAGTTTTCTTAAATTATTATACTTTTAGCAAAATTCAGCATCATCAGCTACCCTACGTTAAGAGTGATTAGGCCATAGTTAACCACGCTGGCCAAGTGCGGGTTGGTTGACTTTACACATATCTTTGAATTTCTTCTCAGATATGTGCAGGTTGCATAACGATGTTTTTAATTCACCGTAAGAACGTCGGATAAATGTACATATGTAAATCGAAAAACATATTGGTACATGGCTGGACTCGAACAAAGGGCCTGCAGATTGCAAGTCAAGTGCTTAACCACTGAGCCACCGACGCTCTCTATAGAAAACTCACAGACTATAAAATTCATATATTCTTAAACTGTTACGTAAATAGTTTAAAAAACCGTTAGAGTTTACTTGATTTGTATACAATTTGAATTACAATGTTATAAATCTAAATTTTAAAAACATTACAACAGCGGATATAGGATTTAAAAATAAATATTTCATAACAGATTCAATTTGAATTTTGTTTATTTAAATGCATTGTTTTTTTATAAGGATTACGACAACTACAGCAAAGGCAGAGTTTTTCCTGAGACTTCGATTAAAACATATTACAATGTAAATTTTTTCAGAGAATGAGAGACAACATCATCGCCCTATCCTTTTCTTACGGGGGTTGACGTACGAGGTTTTTTAAAAACTTAATGTTTTGATTTAAATTTTACGGGTGGCAACCCTGCTTCGTTGGTGTGAGAACAAAGGGGCCAGCTGAAAACCAGCGCAGGAGTGGTCAAGCCCTCCCTGCACCAGCTGAGCTGGCCACCTTTTTTGCCACATCCTTAATTTATTTTATTTAATTTGTTTTTTTTTGTAGTTTTTTTGGTTGTTTGTGTAATAATGTCTATACATATTTTATTCAGTATTAATAGATGCGCTATAATAAAAATAGCGGGAAAATATCAGCGCGCCATATTAGAATCGGACCGCACGTTATCTGTGCGCGGGCGCACGCACTTGACACCGATACCTTCGCCTTGTTTCGCGCGCTAGTTAAATAATTTTTTTATTATATTTGCATACATCTCTTATGAAAGTTAAGTTTACAAAACAACGAATGATAAAAATATATATCGTTTGATACGGTTTGAACTTTGTATGAATACGCACACAAATATTTAAATTCTACTAGCTGTTGCCCGCGAATCCGTCCGCGTGGATATATAAAAAACTTAATTAGTATAGCCTATGTGTTCTTTCAGACCAGACTTTTATGCCAAATTTAATCGAGATCCGTTCAGCCTGTTCTAGAGATATCTTCAAACGCCCACCCATCCATCCATCCACATCACATCCATCTAAACATTCGCATTTATAATATCAGTAAGTCAAATAAAAAGCAGCTCTTCAAGGCATAAATTCGAATATTAGCCATATCAGTAAAGCCGTTCTTGAGTTATAAATAGTGTAACTAACACGACTTTCTTTCATATATATATTTCACACACAAACTGAAAATAACAGGTATAGAAAGTACTATTTTTTTACAAAAACTGTCACTTAGTGACGTTTAACTATTACTTATGCAGTCTCTTAACTTGAAATTCCACTACCATGACACTTGTATTTGGTTGCTTTTGTTTTTTTAAGGGATCGAAGGAGAAGACTCTTACTTAACGATGAGATTTGTCTTACTAAACGTGACACTCTGAGAACAAAAACGTGTTTAAAACTATTATATTTCTTTTCTTAAAGATAATGAGAGGAATGACGACTTTATAAAGAGATTTTGATCCCAGAAACCAACAGTAAATCAACACTAAGGGGTTTCGTTAGTGAAAATTAAAGTATACAGACCTATGTCTCTCTCGTGATGCCTGCATTGAGGTCTGAGGCCGAGCACGACATGGCAGACATCAAACAGCAGCTCCAGGAGCGGAGTGAGCAGCCGCTCTGCGCGCTCCACCGCCCACATCAGAAACTCCTCAGATGTCAGCGCCGCGTCTGATGCGATCAGACCATCGCAATCCGAATCCTAGTACAAAACAATATGATAAATAGATTTTAACTATAATAAGATAGTTCTTCTATTCATTTTAAATCAAGCCTCATAAGCCAGCGATTTATAGTTTTAACTAATATTTTAAATATTAGCAATAACCCGCGACTCCGTCTGTGCGCAAATAAAAAAAATCTTAATAAGTATTGTGTCCTAGATGTTTGTTTTAAGGTCTCTTCAAAACGTCTGCTTGGATCTCGTAAAAATTTGACATAGATGCAGAACATAGTCTGGAGGAACACATAGGCTACTAATTATGTTTTTTAATTCCGCGCGGACGTATTCGCAGGCGACAGCTAGTATTCTATATATGTCATATTTCATAGAGCTCCTATGAGTCGTTTTGGACATACCTTAAACAAACATCCATCCATCTAAATATTCACTTTTTTATATTATAAGATGGCAAACGAGCGAACGGAAGCGACCGCTGCCCATAGACATACGCAATTGCATATGCGTTGCCTATCTTTAATCGACGGAGGAGAGGATGCACAGAAAGAAAATATTTTAACTTCCTATGCATCCTCTCATCCGGAAAGTCCACTTCCACTTCCCATCCTTTCCTTATAAGAAAAAGTGTGGAAAGTGAAAGAGAACTAAATTAGGCCTCCGGGATGCACACTCATCAGACTGCACGCGGAATTGCTTCCACTTAACGCCTGTCTTCTGTGTGGTCGTGGTATTTCACTGAGCGAGCCGGGACAATTCGTGCGAAGATGTTAAAGCGGGCTCTACCACTGTTAAAATATTAGTAAGATAGTAAGAAGTATGTTTGAACATATGTTAATTGCATTGCAACATCCTGTAGCCTAAATGACTGAACAGAATTTGACAAGTTAAGCATCTTTAGATTCGAATCCCCCAGAGCGCTAGTCGAGTTTCTTATTTTTTACTATTAAAAAAAAATAATAAAAACTAAACTAAACAACTCTAAAGAGTACCACTTTGAATATTATCAGTACATTCAGAAGCTACAACAATTTGCAATCAAGTGTTGCGGGATCTCGACCAGATTAAATGATATGGTCTCTCCGATGACGTCATTCTGTTACGTCAATGACACGCGATAAATGTTGCTCTATCAATGATTCGACTTTACTATAACTCAACATGATAAGTATTATTGCTAAAAAGAAATTTCTAGATTTTATAACATCTGTTGCCCGCGACTTTATTCGCGCGAGATTAAATAAATTATTTAGTAGCCTATGTGTTCTTCCAGACTATGTTACTATGTTCTACATCTATTTCAAATTTCAGCGAGATTCCGGAGATACCTTCTAACAAATATCCATCCATACAGATAAAGGTATTGAATTTATTACTTATGTCATAAAATAATTCAAAAAGAGGGAAATAAAGCAATAGCTGGCAATAATCATAATAAAAGGATTCACAAGTTTTTAACACATAATTCCATGAACTACAAATCGAATTTAAATTATTATTTTTGCAACAAGGAAAAAAAATAAAAAACAACGTCCCTCGCGTGCGTCACAAAATCGAAAACAAATAAAACCGCAGGGCATGTTTAGTCTTAAATCTGAGTAACTAAATTTAAGTAACTTACCTCTTTTATATCAACCAATTCCTCTTCAATTTTCTGACTTTCATCAACAGAATTATTAGGTCCGAGCTGAAAGATGGGTTTGTTACCATTCTTGGGTAAACTGACCAGTTTATCCCTCAGGTTTAGGAGTACTACTTCAGGATCAAAGCTCTTCTCTGCTTCGGATTCATCGGATGGTGTTGATGCTCTGGAGTTCTGCTGTTTGAGAGACTCATTGGCTACAGTACAGAGTATTCCCACCATGTCGATCAGTTCCTTCTTGTTTAAAACACCATCTCGATCAAGGTCGAAGATTTTGAAACAGACTGCGGGGAAAAAAGTAAGAAATCAATAATGTATCCGCTCTTTTTAAACATTTTTTTTTTCACTATTTTCATCCATGTAAACCGACGTTTGGAACATCTACGTAATTAATTCTACTCGCGTCTACATATAACAGCAAGATATAAATACAATTATTGTAATAAAATTTACTATTCAATCGTAAATTTTGCTTAGTTATCGGCGTATAAGCAAATACAATAGTAAAAAAACGACCAACACAAGGTCGCACGTCTACTGAAAACCGAACTTCCGACATCTCAACGATAATAGAAGCCAATCGTAAATAGCATCAATAAAAAAAAACAAAGATTTTCATGACTTTGAAGTGTTAATTACCAATTACGTCTCAAGGATAAACGATTTTCTTTTAATCGATTTTATAGCGTTTAATTGTTATTCAATTAATCTAAAAAAAAGTTAAATATAAGCACAATTTGAAATGTTTTGACTAATTATTGTTATTTATTTTAAAGAGAATTTTAACTAATTATTAACCGAACCCTGCGAATTGGTTAGGACTGATTTATTAGTAACTGTCGCAAGCAACTCCTTCCTCTCGTAATTAAAAAAAAACTTAATTAGTAGCCTATGTGTTCCTCCAGACTATGTTCTACATCTATGCCAAATTACATCGAGATCCGTAGTCTTTCCGGGTACCTTCAAACATCCACCCATCCATCTAAACATTCGCATTTATAATATTAGTAAGAAGTGAAATGTATGTCAGTCTATATAATCGAAAAATCACATCGTAATCTGAAGTAATTGTTGACAGATGTCACTACTGTCGACCATTCCCATTATCTACTCACTCGGTAGTCTGATAAACTTCGCACTACTAAATATTAGATATCAAATCTATGATAATCATGGAATACATAAATTAAAAACGTAATATGACTTTATAACGAACTAGCTGTTCGCAACTCCATGTGCGCGGAATTTAAAAAACTTGATAAGTAGCCTATGTGTTCTTTGCCAAATATCATCGAGATCAGTTGAGCCCGGAGATACCTTCATAACAACCGCCCATCAATCTTTAGCATTTATAATATTAATAAACATAAGCTTAAAACCTATTGGATTTCAAATCACTTATCACTGGAATGCTAAAATAACAGTCAGTAACTGGCCATATTTAAATCATTACAAAATATTAAAAGAACATCTGTACTCGCGCAATGCGATTACTGGTCATAAAGAAAACACAAACGACCTTTGCAATACCATGAAATTAAAAAAAAAACTTCATATTATTATAGCTAAATATCTACACGCGCATATCCACAATTCACATGTCGTATATTGGGACTAGGCCACGTTATCTACAACGACAAACTGACAGTAATCGATACAAACAGACAGAATGACAAACTCCATTCGTGACATCTTAAAGAGTTTACATTTAAAAAACAGCACACCTAATTAAGGAAACTAATAATGGGTTAAAGTCACGCCATTGAATCCTTAACTAAATACAAGTATAGCACAAAGTCGATAAAGTTGATTTTTTCTTATTTATATTAGAAATTGGCAAATGAGCAATCGGCCATGGCCGATTGCTCATTTGCCAATTTTGACGCATCTACATGTAGATGCGTCAAAATAGTGAAGCGACCGCAGCCCCCTCGATTACAAATGCGTTGTCTACCTTTAACTGACGTAGAGGACGCACAGAAAGAGTCCATTACCCCTTCCTTTGTCTCCTCTTCTTTAAATACGAATTGTATTTCAAAGAACTAAGATATACATATCAAAATTATAAGTTTAAAAATATGAGACGTGAAGAAAGCCATTAATCCCTTACAACTCTTGCACACGGCCTTGGCCAAAAGACTACTATCACGGGCAATAATTAGTAATTATTTTCTAAAAAAAAAACAACAAACTTTATATGATTCGCCATTGAATTAATCTTAACCTTGACAATGAAATTAATACAGTGTAATTTATCTCTGTAACATTTACTATGAAGTCATTCTCCATAATAGTATTCAAGACGTTCTTTCTTCACGACGGAATAATTATGTAAATATATATTTAGCACTTGCTTATTGTAATGGAAGTAAATAACATGTTAGCGACTTCCAAACGTAGATATTTACTACACTAGATATGTCTTAAATAAATAATCCTAACAAATAATTTTACAAGCGATAGCTGTCGCCCGCTACTTCTGTACCGAATTAAAAAGAAAACTCAATTAGTAGTCTATGTGTTCTTCCAGACTATGTTCTACATCTTTGCCTCTTCTATTGCAGCCGATACCGTAGTAAAAAGTAAGATTTGTATTTTGTATTTAACACTTTCAATGCCACTACAATTAAGTATTAAAGTGAACTCGAGTGTGACTCTGTGGTATTAAAAGAGTTAACACGTTAACTGCTATTTAAGGCAACCTATTATTACGTATAACAATTATTAACAATCCGTGGCAGTCGCGTGTCATCGGATACAAGCGATATAACACCGCAAATGATATAGATAAATGATAAACGTTTGATAACGTAACATTGTCCAATTTATGCTTTCTAACTAAATTCGAATTGATTGTTAATCGTTACGATTGTAAGTACATTATTGTTTTACAAGGGTATTCGATTGCTGATAGCGACACTTTTGAAACATTAAAATGTCCTTTAAAACACGAAACGCATAAAATCACACCTAGCGAGAAACCTCTATAAGCGAGAATCATCGTCTGGACCCGACGGACGAACTTCATAAGCGAGAAACTCAACCTTTATAAGTGAGAATCATCGTCCAGATTCGACGGACGACCTCCATAAGTGGGAAACTCAAGCAAAACGGAAACCTCTATAAGCGAGAAAAAATCACAGCACCTAGGACTCTCGCCTTAGAATGTTACAGTATACTTACATTTAAGTCTCTCGGTGCGTGGTCCTCTACAGGCTGCGCTGAGTCCACAGCAGAGTTCTTTAAAATCCACATGCCCATCTCTGTTCTCATCCAGAGCTCGCAGCACACCGGGCAATGCGGCGGCGGGTAGGGGCGGGGCTAGAAGAGCACGTAGCCCCGCCCCGTCCAGTTGTCCGCTTGAAGCGTTGCTGCGTAGTGACCAGAAGCATTTCTCTAGCTCTATTATGTCCTGGAATAAGTGCAGTGATACAGAATCTGGGGGTTTTTTATATAAAGGATAGATGGGTAAGGGCTTAGTAACAAAGGTACTTTAATTATACAGGTGATAGTTTAATTTTGAATACACATTGTGAAGGATCTGAATGACACTTTATTATGCTTATTTCTTTTATTAAACTTTCTATTTAAAGTAGGCGTCCACTGGCCCGCACTGAACGCACCGTACGCGCGGTTTAAAAGGATTTACTGTGTATTTCGATGCGCGTGGCGCAAGTGCGTGCATCCGACGCGAACCAATGGAGTCGTTCCTTTATTCTTAATATTGCTTCGTCAAGTATCCGACTGTTTTTTTTTTAATTTGACGAATTTAAATTCTTAGTATATTGATAAAATATAAGTATACTTCTGATATCTATTTTGCAAGAAAAAGTTAGGAAAAAAATTTGGTAGTTAGGTATTAGTAACCGAGAATAAATTTACATAAATGCATAAACAGAAATCTATAACTGAATTATATTTAGTTTATATAGGAAGTTATGGTAAAAAGTAAAAACAACGTTTAAGGATTTAAATAAACTTGTATATAATATCCTTTTTATAATAATCACTATGGAGGTATATGTCCGATCCCTAGCACTGCTCAGAGCAAAGTCAGAAGTGAGAATGATCAAAATTTCAGGGGGTCGGACGTTTTTACCCTAGACCATAAACAATCTTTTATCATAAACAATAGAACAGTCATAGATTAATTTTTGTATAGATTGTAAATTTAAATAATTCCAACAGTTTAAATAATAAATATGATACGGTTTTTCCTTCTTTTACCAATTATATATCACTTTGTCGTGATAAGAGTCAATTAAGAAACAATTCCGAGTACCGGCGGAGTGCTTGACTTCGTAATTGTTCTAAATTGCTGGCGACATTCAATTTAAAGGAGTTCGATTAGACATTCCATGTTGTGGCATTCTTTACATTACGTATATGTAAATTAATTCAGTCTTTATTCGTCTTATTACTGCAGGTATTATACGACAACTAAGGGATAATCTCAGTGTAGATTTAGTTTGAGAAATCTACACTTAATACCTATTTATTTTAAGCGATTTCGATTACAAAAGTTAATTTAGGTTCATTATGAGGATAATTAACGGTCAGATCTGTTTGTCTGTCCGCAAGACAGAATTTGTCCCAGGTAATCTGCGGAACGGCTGAAACGATTTTGACGGGAAGCTGATACACGCGGGAACATTATAGGCCTTTTAATTCCGTGCTCTCGGAATGGCGGGAGCAAGCTAATAAAATAAAATTGTTGAAATATTGCCTAATATTTTTAAAGAAAAAAAGGCGAAAGATGGCATTATCTTGTGCTAAGAAATTCAGATACCGCTGCGCAATTGTACGTTTTTTTTTCTATATCACATTTTTATTTACACGTCCGATAAGATCGTCTATCTGTCCGTCCTTGCGTGTCACATGCGTCCTGCTGATATACAAACTCGCGTGATAACTGACTTTTTATATTTATAAAGGTGATTTCGTCCTGGATAAAATATATACCTAACAGTTTGCCTGAAATTAGTGATTATAAGACAAAGTAACAAAAACATTTAATTTTTAGTGGATATTGTATGCTTTAATTTTGGGTAAAGGAATTAATACAAACAAGAGATATCGAAAATTGGACCTGATGATTCTGTTACATATGTTAATATTATGGCCTGGCTGAATTTTGCAAAAATTAATAATTTAAAAGCAAAATGTCTTTAATTTCCTCCTTAATTTCGTCTGGATAAACGAAAGCCTAAGAGATCACGGTATTTTCTCGCTTATAAAAGTCTCTCACAAACCCTAGTTTCTCGCTTATGAAGGTCATCTGTCGGGACCTGGCAATGACTCCCACTTATAGAGATTTCTCTCTCTATTTCTAACTTCGACTGTATACTTAAAATATTATAGTTACTAGCTGTAGAAAATCAATAAAGAAAGAACGTTTTTACTAAGCTATAAAACGAAATTACGATGTATTTACTTTCCTGAAGACTACGCTACAATTCTAAATAACAATACATCATTGTAAAGCGCCATTTTATTCGTAGACAATCAACTAATGGACTCCAATACTGATTTAATTTAGATATCATTCTGTATGAAAACATCAGTAATTTCGAAAGTATTGATTAATTCAATGATGTTTACTTATTAATAAAAAATTAATTTAGATAAGCACCGATCAGTATAAATGGATAGGCAATTGCTTGGAAATTATGCTAATATATTACTAGTTCGAATCCATACCACCACTACAAACCAATACAATCAGCGAATCGGAAAATCAAATAGGCACAAAATACTAGATGTTTTAGCCAGTCCATTCATAAAGGTTAGTGGCTCTAACTACAAGTCTCTGCTCACTGTTTAAGTCAAGGAGTCTTTAAAATGTTAAGAGGTCCTCCTTAGTGACTAAAGGGTGACCAAATAAAACGTAAGTGTGGCAGCTTTGTTTGTGTCCCTTAATATTTACTACGAAGGCTACCGTAGCTTGTGATAAACAAAATTTGGATATGAGACTTGTATTTAAATAGAAATCTCTCCTTGTCCCTGTGAAATGTGATTTCTCAATGATATAAAATTCCCCTAATCAGTATGCAAACATTGACTAGTACACTTTTAGCTTTTAGTTCGTACTTCTCGTTAATTTCCTTGAGGAAATGCTAATTCAAAAAAAACATTGTGTACGGGGATTTCACATCAAAACCACAACATGACCTTCAATAGTTTACTCATATTAAATTCATTGAAAAAATCCTTAAAATAAAAAGGAATTATTCATTAATATTGTATCAAACATGAAATAGGTAATTCAAGACTAACTGTAGCCGCGACTCCGTCCGCGCGGAATTAAAAAAAAACTATATTAGTAGCCTATGTGTTCTTCCACTGTTCCAAATTTCAGCAAGATTCATGCAGCCGTTCTGGAGTTCGCCGTTCTTTTGACTTTGACTCTTGACAAACATCCATCCAAAAATTCGCATTTATATTGGTACCTGGATGACCGGAGCTTTTTTCGGTATTTTTTTTTTAAATTGTGTTTTTTGGAAATTACATTTAAGTACGATTTACCAATAAAATGATGAAATATGAACAATATTTCTCGATCTTACCGATAGAAAAATTTAAGTTTATGTTTAAGTTGATTATCGATAAAACACGAATAAAATGACATTTTCTAAAAATGATTCCTAGCTAGGTCGATTTATCGCCCCCGAAACCCTCTATATACTAAATTTTATGAAAAACGTTGGAGCCGCTTCCGAGATTCCATTTATATATATATATTATATACAAGAATTGCTCATTTAAAGATATAAGATTAAGACTTATAACATATAATCGAAATTATTACAAAATCATTTATAAATAAGTCCTAAATCGAAACGTAATATGAAATAAATTAAAAATATAGCTTTTCAGGTTATTGGCATTGCAAACACAATGGCAGCTGATATCAGTTCTTTATCTATACATATGTAATGATATATAATCACACTATCAGAACACACATTTAAACTATGTTACAAGCACACAACATTCTAACATAAAAACATTGCAAATATTGCTTTTAATTAAAAAAAAGTTTTTTTTTTAATTTTAAATAAGCTAGCGCTTGACCACGATCCCACCTTATATAAAGTGCTGAAGCGTATGAAAGATGTTACGCGCTAGCTTAGTAAATGCCTATTCACTCTACTCTTGAATGCCACTATGTCATACACGGACGGAAAAACGTACAAGGAACGATGACTAGCTGAAGGCCGTGATTTTGTCCGCGTTGAATTAAAGAAAACTTCATTTACCTATGTGTTATTCCATACTATATGCCAAATTGAGATCCGTTAAGCCGTTTTGAAGATATCTTATAACAAACATTCATACATTCAAACATTTGAATTTATAATATTATTAGGAAGAGAAATTCTCACTTATCAATCCGTTATTTACAATGGTTTTCTACTTGAACAAAATAATCTAAAAAAAAAAGGGACAGACAGACAGACGGACGAACAACAAAGTGATCCTAAAAGTGTTCCGTTTTTTCCTATCAGGTACGGAACCCTAAAAACAAGATAACTGCCATAGAATCCTACGGTTTATTTAATCAATATCTTAAATTAATAACTCAGGAAACCATATAATATTATAACCATTTAAGTTGTTAAAACTACTCTAATAATATTTAATTAAGTACATTGAATACTTATAAAGGGACACGGTTGCACTTCGTGGATTAGTAACGATAGTAATTGGACACCATTACACTTTGTAAAGAGAAGCTTTATAAGTCAACTACGAAACTCTTTTCACCCAAACCTTAAACCCTCCTTTCATTCTAATACATTGATAAAAACTATTAAAAAAAAAACAAGATATGTACATCTACAAAAAAGTAACAACTCACCCGCTCTTCCAAATGTGTGACACCAGCTAGACTTTGATAAAAAGTCGGTGTTTCCAAATCATGTGATATACTACCACGATCTGATAGCAGCCATTTTGATAATACCGTGGCATCTTTATGTATAAGCAACCATGATCGGAACTGTTCGAATGTCACTCGTTCACCAAGTCCAAATAAGCTGGTGAGGATATCCGCAGACCGATGGGACCCGGATACCGGCAGAGATGTGTTCTCAAGTTGTAATGCGCGAGCAAAGTCGCGCTTGTAGATGTATGTGCCATTCTCACTTTGATTATTTACATAGAGGGTCCATAGGAACCTAAAACAAATATAACATTATTATCTTGTAAACTTTCAAGATCTTCAAGCAATCAATTGATAGGAAGTAGTGTATTTCCTTTGGTTTTCTGTCGTCAGAGGCCAATATCTTCTTTATGCATAAGTTATCTACAATTAAAACATGTTTTGTAATAATGCAACTAATATTTATCTACTAAAAGTTGAAATGGAATTTGAAAAAAATCTTGATATATATACATAAAATAAAATTGTAGTTATCAAATAATTTTCTTGTTTATTTAATGTAATCCGAACCATTTTTAAAGGACAATTATCAATAACAATATTACAAATTATTACTGTTATGATTTCTAAATAGCACAATTTATTTATAGTTATTATAATAAAAAATATATTTGTATGTCAAAAAAATTTAAACAAGAGTTGACTGCTTGTTACTAATGTACAAAATATTTTGACCTATCCTAAGAAGAGTTACATTAAGTTAGGTTGTTTTTTCTTGGGAAAATATTAGAAGATTTTTGTTAATTTATTAATATTTCTTATATCCAAGTAAGTTCTAGACTTGTGCTAGGATATAATTTATTCAGGCGGGCCCACGGAAGCAAGCGAAAGCGTTCCCGTGGCGCCCGCCATAATGCGTCAGAGGGCAGTCAGGTTTTAGTGGGTATTCTGGTCACCTTCTGTGGCCGGCGAGTCCCACACTCCCTAAATAATGCGTGCATAAATGCATTTCCTGACTTTAAAAAAAAAAAAAAAAGGATATAATTTATTAGAATTGTCAAATAGCGGGATATGAACTCTCAACCACATGTTCAGATATCCATACCCTTAACCATTGGGCTACTATGAGTCAAACGTTTTATGTCTATAAAATATGATGAATCAATAACTTTCATAAAGATGAAAGACCAAAGCTTGCTTGAATGTGGGTTACAGAGAAAGTAATCAAACATAAATAAAGTTCACGTCTCATATCAGTTAATTACTTTGACCTACACTTGTATTACACAATACTAACTATGACTTAATAACGGTAACATACTGGAATACAGAGTATGCCATTTTAATTATACTGTTGGGTTTATGCATACATATAAGAAATTAGTATAATTTCAAAATTTCGAATGTTAAAGGAAATGCAAAAAAACTTCTATAGATAATATAGAATTATACTATAGACATTTGACTAAGTTTGACTTACTAAGCTGATTTTTGAAATACAAGTTAAGTATAAGTATGTACTACAATGCCTGTAACTAGGAATTAAGAGTTTAAGTTACAAACTCTAAATGATTCAAGATACTGACCATTTAGTGGAGGGGTATAGGCTTGTTTTTACATACTTAATATTTCCACTTAATAATGTACAAGATACAGATCCCACTGCATCTTATATGCAACTGTTTTGTAGAGATTAATTTATACCATTGCAATGTATTCGTAATTAACCTACCAAAATATTCAAAGACAGAGTTATGTGTACATTTCTCTTTTTGAATAAGCCTTACTAAAAACGCCACAATAAAGAAGTAATAGAGGAAAATTGCTGACTGAAATATAAAATCTGATTCATTCATTGAAAAAATATGCAAAATAATATTTGAAAAATGTTACAGTAGTTATTATTGCAAAATAATATTTGTATCTTTTGTAATGTTGGTATTACATTCACAGTATTTAAACCTCTTTGGTTTCTATTACCATGAGACTAACACGACATATGAATGACATAATAATGCTTTTGATAGAGATATTTTAGCACGGCAATGGGCATGTTTGATAAGAATTACTTTGTTATTATCAGTACTGTTATGTTGGTGTATTATAAAAATAAATTTTGTTGACAATTTATTCTATCTTATTTTTACTTTTTACATCATAAAATATTTATATTGATGTAAGTTTTTTTACTTGAAAACCTTATGTAATACTGAGATTAAACATTCTTATGTCAAATGAAAAATCCAAACATTTTTATAATTGTTATTTTTCATTTACTTGTAGTTTTAAACTTAAAGAATCTTATGACTCAAGTAAATGATGTCATGGAATGTTGTTGTAAATAATATGTATTGTTTTTTTATCTAATGTTTAATCTTTTAGTGTTATTGTGTTATGTTCAAGTAGAATAACTTTTAGTTTTCTCAATATATATTAAGTGATTAATAGTTTTAATAAGTATGGTTGAACTTACTATATATATATTGTACATGGATTTGAAGATTTGTGGTTCAATGGGAATGCGTAATGTTTTTTTTGTAAGCTGTAAGGAAAAATCCAATAAGATCTTACTTGATTTTCTCCTCTAGATTTCCTTTCGTCAACACGACGATACCGCACAGAAGGTCCCGGAATATGATCCCTCGCTTTGTACCACCACAAGCCTGGTACAACCACTCTGCCACTTCGTAAGGTACTCCGTCACATAGCACTTCATGGACGAACGCTTCCAGGCTCAAGGCCGTCCCACTTGTACCGGCACATCTCTTAAACGCTTCACGAATACGTCGTAATTCACTCTCGCTTACTGCAAACAAAACTATACTATAGAATCATACAACTTCGTAATACATTAACGCACATTTATCACACCGCGTACCTCTCTTCGTCGCATCTTCGTAAGATATAAAACTAGGTTTTGAATCTTTCGCACCCATATTCGATAACACGGAATAATCATAACATTTTTAACGCGTAATTAACACAAAGAAACAATAATTACTACAGCTGACAGCTCACGTCGTATGATCTGTAGCCATATTGAATATTTTTATTTTTTATACAACTTCATTGCGAGCTTCAGCACTTGCCACTTGTTCTATCAAAATTCAACTCTCAACTCATGTCATGAAAAACTGGAAAACAAGTCTTCACAGATAACGTAGTGATTGAGAATATGATAAGATATTTAATAATTCTATCTTTTACTTTATATTTAAAATATTAAATATTATCACCTTTAAAATAGGTTTTGTTTTAGCACATTTTCAATCAACAACGTTAATTTTAATTATTTAAAAATATATTTTAAGATAACGTATACGATAATTTCAAAAACTCAATTGACATTGACACATCTAGTGTCATATTTTGTAAACTGTCAGCCAGGCCAAAGAGTACATAAATTTTATATACTCTTTGCTGTCAGCCACTGTCAGCCTTTCAACCACTGTAATTCTGTCAAATTGTCATAATAAAATTGTTTTACTAGATTGTGATACTGCATTTTAAAAGTAAATACTTTAAATAGACAAAAAATTCATATTAAAATTTTCTTCATTCCAACTAGAAGAAATTCTGTGCTTACAGCGGTTATGCCACAGATATTTTGTTATTAAACAATCTTGCAAATATTTGTAAATGTCCGTGTCATTGTGCGTATTGCGTATTGAAATCGACGAAGATCTACCCGAAATGGGTGATAATGCATCTGAAACAGGTTTGTCTTATTGTTTAATATCAGTTTCATAACTCGTTACTTGTTAGAATATCGAAGAAAACTGGAAAACATGTATTAAATGTTTACTATGATAACAAAGGAAATCAATAACGTTTACATTTGCTTCGGATTTTTCCATATTTCGTAACATTTAATTGCAATAACATTTCCTAGTTTTTTGTACTAATGTTCTTGTTAAAATGGTTAACGTTTTTTATACACAAGATTTTAACATATTATTCGTCAATCTTCATTAGGTTATTAAAGAATTGCAAATATTACAACTTGGGATTGCATGATTTTTATATTTTTGTGCAGAAGCAGCTAAAGAACAAAAGAAAAAGGACCGTGGTGCTAGAGAAAGTAAGACCATAACAGTGGAGACATATGCCAGTGTGCTGATCGGCTCTAATACTGACTCCGGAATCCTGCCTACAAGCTCAAGAAAATCACCACCTGAAGATAGTGTCTGTGATGAAGATGAGACAATTAATTTCTTCTGTGGTAACCCATTAGTAGAGGTTACGAAAGGAGTTCTGCATTTGTATAAAGAAAAGTGAGTTATGCTATAAAACCTATATTTAAAGCATATTTGATGGTGAAAGTTGTTGTTCTTCCTAATTCAAACTGTTTAGCATCCCATTAGATTTAACAGAATAATACAGGCAGGTTAAAACCAGCCTTGCTAGTAAATTAGTGATTGCCTTTTAACTTTTCTGTGCTTCATTCTACAATTGTTATTTTTTAATGCTTTTCCCCAATTATTAAATCATAACAAAACAAAAGAAGAATAGTATTATGCATTGTTTAAGTGAATTGAAAGAGGCTGAAGAAGCAAAGACACTGTGTCTGCTGTCAGTACCAGGTGCACTAGGAGCACCAGACCTGCTTGCATTTGCTGCGGCTTGTCAACAAGATATAGCACATGTTAGAGTACTGAGAGATGGATCGCTCGATCATTATATGGCTTTACTTACGTAAGTTTACATTATTTTTGTTGTTTTAATAATAGTTATTATTCTCGTATTCTGGAAAAAACAGGTTATGCTTATTTCTCATAGCAATTGTGCTTTTTTGGTTGTAGTCACGTAATGCTACTTATTAAGACATGTCTATTTACATACATGAACATTGTGAATGTAGAAAAACCGACTTGGAGGAGAGGATCCATAGGCAGGGTAAATATTCCCATCACAGTAAATATGCATCCTACTCCCTGTCGATTGAAGTTAGGCAATCAATCTGCAATTAAGAAAGTCTAGTGCCAACCCTATGATACATAAAAAAGTGAAAGACATGTCAGGAGCACTATAAATTTATGTCCGTGGAAGAGATCAGGCAGAGGTCTACCCCATTGGGCTACAGGGGTGAGTTATGTTGTTGAACATTGTGTTGTGTAGAAATGTGTGTGTAGAAAGTATTAGTTTTAGTATTTCCTAACAACAGATTTGTAATGAGAAAAAAATCAAAGAATTTGGGTAGATATAGCTATTTTGTTCTTTTATTAGATTCCGTACATCAGAAGCAGCTCGTGAGTTCCACTCTGCGTTTGATGGCGTGCCCTACAGCAGCCTGGAGCCGCAATCACTGTGCCATATGGCATGGGTGTCCCGTGTTGAGTGGGCCAGAGATGGCACGCCGCCTCCCTCACACACTGAACTACCCACATGTCCTGTGTGCTTGGGTATGTATTAACACATCTTATATATAAAATTCTCGTGTCACAATTTTCGTTCCCATACTCCTCCGAAACGGCTTGACTGATTCTCATGAAATTTTGTGAGCATATTGAGTAGGCCTGAGAATCGGCCAACATCTATTTTTAGTCCCGCGCAGACGGAGTCACGGGCGACAGTTAGTTATATATCAATGTGTCAGATGCTTGCATTCTTTTCTCTATGGAAGGCACAGTATATCTCTGTCAAACATCTTATTTCAGCTATCATATTCACCTTAAAGTATTCCTTGCTTGTGTTTTCAAAACAAAAATATGTTGTTTTATTATCATATTGATTTTTTTTTTATAAAAGCGAAAGTTTTGATGTTTATAACGGCGTGTCTTTAAAAAGACTTTACAAATCTCTATGAAATTTGGCATAGATGTAGAACATAGTTGAACGGAGGCGCGAACGGCAGCACAAACTATTGTGAATAGAGTGGATAATGAGAAGAAAACATTTACAACAAATTATTTTCGTTTTAGCTTAGATTTTTCCACGGAACTTGTAATTGGAATGATATAAAAGCAAATGATATGAAAGATGTAAGTATGTATGTACAAACAGAACGTATGGACGAGAGCGTGGCTGGCGTGCTGAGCGTGCAATGCGCGCACGCGTTCCACTCCGAATGCCTGGTGCGGTGGCGTGACGCGCGCTGCCCGGTGTGCCGCTGTGCGCAGACTCCGGAGCCGCGAGGTGTGGCGCGCTGCGACCAGTGCCACACAGGCGCCGCTCACCTCGCACAGGGGGAGGAGGAGGTGGAGGGAGTGGGGGGCAGGGACGGGTTGGCTGAGGGTCTGCCTGATGGGGTGACAGCTGGTGCGCTATGGATCTGCCTCATCTGTGGACATGTCGGCTGCGGCAGGTGATGTAAATTAAAGGAGATTATTTAGATTGTTTAATGGTTAATTTTGCTGTTTCTTAGTGTAGATTACTATTAAATTTCCTTAAAATAAAATCTCTCAGTCACCGCTTAGCACTCTGGGTATGAACATAAATACTCACTCAGCTGGTCTTTTACCGCACTCAGGAGTTAAATGTCCAACTTATTCTATGTTTTCATATACAGGTATGAAGGTGGTCACGCTGCGAAACATTTCCTCGCTTCCAACCACACTTACGCCTTACAATTGGGATCCAACAGGGTATGGGACTATGCAGGTTTGTTTCTCTAACATATTCAATTATAACAACTAATCACTCTAATATCTTCTTTCTTCTTACTAATATTATAAATGCGATTGTCTATATGGATGGATGGATGGATGTTGAAATTTAACATAGATGCAGAACATAGTCTGGAAGAACACAGGCTATTCATTACATTTTTATTTTGATTCCGCGCAGACGGAGTCGCGTTCAACAACTACTAATAAATATCTACAAATAAAACATTTCATGCTATATTTTGTCTTTTTAATGTTTTTTTTATGAATGTCTTCATATTAAGTATGTAACACATAGGTGACAACTTCGTGCACCGGCTGGTACAGAACAAGACGGACGGCAAGCTGGTGGCGGCGGAGGGCGCGGGCGGGGAGGAGGCGGCGTGCGGCGGGGAGAAGATGGACGCAGCTCAGCTTGAGTTCACCTACATCCTCACGCAGCAGCTGGACGGACAGCGAGCTTACTACGAGGATAAGATCGCCAAGTACTTACCACTGCACTCTCATCTCTAATAATCACTTAAAAAAACAGGAGGCAACTCGATACATGAATGTTTTATATAAGGACTAGCTGTCACCCGCGACTCCGCCCGAGCGGAATTAGAAAAGAAAACTAAATTATTAGCCTATGTGGTCTTTCAGACTATGTCTAAGTCTTTCTCGATACCTTCAAACAAACATCAATCCACCCATCCAACAATTCGCATTTATAATATTAGTAAGAAGTAAGATGAATCACGGATTTTTTAGGTTTCGAGTGAAAAGACTAAAGTATAAATATATTTTTTAAGTCTTTAGTTCCATAAAATATTTGTAATTTAAATTTAATTAGGATGGAATCTGAGCGCACCGCAGAGTGCGAGGCGCTGAGGGCGCGCGCTGCAGCCGCGGAGGCGGAGAGTGCAGCGCTGCGCGGACAGGTGGCGCTGCTGACGCGCGACAATAAGGCCCTCGACAGGCGCCTGCAAAACCTCACTGCAAAGTAAGACGCTACAGAAATCTACACTAAGGACCTCCCTTAGGAACTACTTTATATCTGCATTCAATAAACATTTTCGGATATGTATGTACATTTTGTAGGATGTCAACACTGCAGAGTGAACTGAGTGAGGAGCGCGGGCTGGCGGCGGCGCTTGCCGGCAGCCAGGCGCAGTGGCAAGAACAGGCGCGGCTCAAGGAACAGGCATTCATGCAAGAGGTACGTCATTCTAAACATAGTCCGGCTCAGAATGACCATAATACAAATAATTGCTGATGAGTGGCTTAAGGAAGATTTTTTTTTATAATAATGTGGAGATAATAGTGAAAAAGACATTCAAACAAGAGTTTATTTATTAATGTTATTCTTTGTCCCAGGTGGCAGAACTCAAAGAGCAGCTACGCGATGTGATGTTCTTTGTAGAGGCTCGCGGTCAGCTCGAAAAGTCAGAATGCGCGACGCAGGAGGAGATAGCATCCGCCAGCGTGTCCGTCGCTCCAGCCAAACCACGACGCAGACGACGGTAGCTTCACAGTACAAATTATTACGTGATTAATGAAATAACGTTGTCAATACTTTTATGACTAATGACCGGTCTTTTGTAATTCTTCTCTATTTGACAGCTGAGAAACAAATAAATCGAACGATGACATTGACATGAGCTTAAACAGGTTTTGGTTATAATCGAATCGATTATTGTGAAAATCGATTTCCTGAAAAAACTGTCAATTATTTGTGATTGTATTAATTTATTCAAAATACAGGGCTTTTCAGGACACAAAAATGTCCATTTCAAATAAAAATAATGTTAAGTTAGATAAGTGAGATTATTTATAAAATGTAAGCTAAATGGCACGACAAAGACTAAAAAATTATCAGTTCACTTAATATTTGTAAAATATGTACACGAAATATTGTATTAGTTTGATAATGAAACATCGCTTATTCTTACAAATAAAATTTGGACATATCTTGGTGCTTTATTTAAAATCCTCCGTACTCACCAAAGAGTATATAAAATACTACTAAACTACTACTAATAAAAATGGTACTCACGAATAACATAATTAATCGTCAGAGATTGAACTATCCGTAGATATAGAAGGATACAGAAAGAGAAAGGAAACAAAGATTTCAGATTTAAGGTTTTGAACCTTGAATATTCGTTTTTAAAGAAAAATCTGGGAAATAAATCGATAATATTGCGACAGTAGGCCGCTATAATTATAAAGATAAAATTTATCTATTTTCAATTACTGTCGAATGTCATTTTTGTCAAAGAACATAATTTTTTTTGATTATCTTCAACATCAAATGTCAGTTTTGTCTATTCCTTTTCCTTGGCGTGTTCGTACCAGGGGGTGGAAACTTAGAAGAAGGACGATTTGTATGGAAAGTGGCGCCATCTTTTAAATCTTGGTAAACATCATTTCATCTCTACTTTGTGTCATCGAGACATTCATGTGTCATCAAACCGCTACGTTTTTTCGTATTTCTAATTCTGTTCTTGTATTCTTAGTTAAATGTTGTTTCATTCATTTTGTTTTTAATTAAAATGTGTTTTCGTGAAAAATTACGCTGTACGCAACTGTGTTTTAGATGGACTGATTATGGTAAGTTACAATTCAATAAAAAATTTCATGTTTTTCCCATACGTCAGACTCATTTAAACATTTAAATATTTTCGTATTTTGGTGTAGTTTTTAGCACCACAGTGATTTATCCTTTCCGGTTATCATATTAAATGGTGCCCTACTTCTAATACATTTTACATATCAGTTCCTATACTTGATAGGAAATCACATTCTGTTTGTTTGTTGTAGGTGCACATATACACGGTTTCCCCCTTCCTGAGAGACGGTCAGTGATGTTCAGAAAATGTGTGCCAATCTGTCTGTCTGAAATTAGTAGGTGGGTCCATGTGTGTATATGTAAAAAATATATTTTTTTATTTGTAATTTTTTATTGTAAAGAAAAATTTGCTTGCCTATGTTGTAAGAGAATATGTTCAGAGTGTTTAAACTCGCAAATAACTACAAATTGCCAGTTGCCAGCTTGCATATGACTGAAAATATTTTGGGGTTTGGTTTTAATTACAGGGTATGCATTCTTTTGTGACCGCGCTATACTATTTATTACCGTAAATGTAATTTTCAAATATATATATTAAAATATTGAGCTGATATCTTGAAAGTCATTGATGTATATGTACTTGCATAGATTTAAAATTAAGTTATGTAGAAATATAATAAATAATGTACAAAAATATAAAAATATTTTGTTTTTATTTCCCCAATAATAATAGGATCATTTTAATAGAGGTATTTCATAGAAGGCTACTTGATATCGGCTCACTATATTAATAACTACATAAGTGGGTATATTATTTTTGAACATTGATTTAATGTCAATTTTAACTTTATTAGATTCCCACTTATTAGTTATTATTATAGTGAGCTAAATAAGCGTGCCTACGTATATAGGTACCAAAAAAAAAAAAATTAGTTCAGCGATTATACGCATGGAGCGCCACAATCGCCGTGGATCCACGACTTCGTGCGAGTTGCCCCTCTTTCTATAGTATACTTATTATACTCTTTGGTTCGTACAATCAATCTCAATTTCTACAATGATTATAAATTAATTATGATAAAGTGTATTATCGTATAAAAATCACATAGTTTATTCTCATCTAACTTGAAATATATCATTATTTCATTCATTTAGGTAAGACATTTATATATGAGTATTTTTACACAGCAATGTTAGAGAGTTTTGTAAAGGCGAAAGTTATAAAGTAGTCGAAGAAATTGATGTGTTTCGACAATTTCATTAGTTCTTTCAGAGTGCAGTATATTCCAGCACAACACAGAAGCTCTATCGCCTACTATTTCGCACGGCCTTGCAAGAAACTGCACTCTGTGACATTATCAGAGTGAGTTTTTTGCAATACCGCTTCGTCCTCGCGCTGTTCTTCTTTTTTGGTGAATTTTGAAATGGTGAAAGTCTGCACAGGGCGATGGTAAAAATCCAATTGTTGTAGTACATTGGATTTTTAATGCTATCGTTATTTGCGGACGATCTTTCAACTCCTTGTCTCGTTTAGTCATTGCACAAAGGTAATGGAGGTTAGCAGTTTTGCATTAGAAGAACAAGATGTCAAGTATTTACATAATGTATAAACTTTAGCCATGATTTAATATTAACATTTTGTATTCTTCAAGAAAATAAATATAATTTTTGAATATCATACAGATTTTGTTGTTCACTAGGATATAGAGAATATTATTTGATTAATAGGAATTCAATACTTTTTTTACAGTAATTTAGTACATTTTATTCCTATAAGTTTAATATAATAGTCAACAGCTACTGCTGCTAAGAAATTCTGAATATTGATGGCTGCTATGGAAACAGATAACAATTTTCTGTGAAACATTTAACATTTCCTTAGCAATAAATCACAACTTTCATATATTTAAAAATTGTTAAATGTACATAACTGTATATTTCATAGTTTTGATTATAATTACAATTAATTTATTGTAAAGATCTTTTATTATATACAACTTAACATCTAGTTGTTTCATAACTTGGATAATTTACATGACAATGTTAAATAATTAGAAATTAATGCAATTTAAAGTAAAAGTGTGACATTATTTTGTTTAGCCAGCCTTATTAGTGTAATAATTTTCATACTCTATAAACATTGTCAATCAATACTTTAATTATATTCGACTGCAAATTGTACATTTATTAAATCTAGAATTGTTTAAATATCTCATATGTGTATTGTGTACTTTCCCATATCAGCGTAAACTATTTTTAGGTAGGTAAATATGGAGGCGGATACAATAGAGACTGAGCCACAAGCGAAAAGACAGAAGATCGAAGCTCAGGAGAATATGAATGACATGGAAACTGATTTTACGAATGACGATTTAGATTTTACGAATAAAGTTGACAATACAGATAAATATACCAACTTTGTGACACCGGAAGAATTGGAGAGGTTACAAGAATATAAAGTTTTGGATGAAGTCAAATCAAACGATGAAGATAGCAATGATGAGGAATCTGAAAGTTCTGATGGTAGTTATTTTATAATATTATTTGATGGGCTTAAAATAGTATATAGATTTATTGGTGAAATTCAACTGTCTAATATCTGTATAACTTTATTGTTTTTGGTTTTTTTCCTAGCGAATGAGAGAGAGAGACGGGGTGATATTTTTATACAGGTTTTTAGACAGTGGAAACTCACGCTATCTGATGTTTTAATTATGTTTGAATTAATAAGTATTAAAAATGTCCAAATTGATGTTTATAATATTTATATGACATATTATATGTATAGAATTGCATGGGTAATTTTTTATCGTAAATTTATCACATATATGTTATATGTGTTTTATTATATTTATGTATATTCTATATGTTTATTTTGTACTATGTTATGCGATCGATGGATATGTGATGAAACTTATAGGGAAAGAAGATCTTCCTGATGAGGAAATAGAGAAGATGCTAGAAGAAGATTTGCCTGATGGTTTCAAACAGGCGCCAAAACCGAAGGAAAAGCCGTATGTAACGAGACAGAAGATTGTGTTACAAGGTTAGTAACATGTTTATTTATGTTATTAAAATTTATTGAACACTAGACTGTTATAATAAGTAACTAGAATATTTAACTCTAGTTAAATATTCTATTAAATATAAATACAGTTGTGGAATGTTTGGAAACAAGTGAGGAATGTTTATAAGCAAGAATCCAGTCACTATGAGTGACCTCCATAAGTGAGAAACTCTGGTAAGAGGGAAACCTTCATAAAAGAGAAAATTATTACTGTACCTTAGATTCTCGCTTTTTCAGATTCGGCTGAATAATAATTTTCTCATAATAGTTTTAATATACGACTTGAATTTAACCTGTATTTTTTGTGTTTATTATTATAAACAAACAAATAAAAGTATGGATTGATTGTGTGAAAGAGGTTATGCATAATAAGGGGATGATGGCTGTTAGAGATGTATGGAGTAGAACATAGTGCCCTCCTTAGGGATAAGGCCGGCAACGCATCTGCGGTTCCTCTGGTATTGCTGATATCCATGGGCGTCGTTGAACACCTCGGTGTTCCCGCTGCTCGTTTGCCCCATTCTGTTATAAAAAAAAGGGTAGGTTGATGATCAACAAATGGGTTGGCATATTCATCAATTTGGTGGAAGAAAACAATGTGTTGACACCCTATAGACTGAGATAAAAAGAGAGTCAGTGAAATATTTTAATATTGCAGAAAAAGGAGTCAATCATTTTGAAGTGTTGCCTCTGGACTGGATGATGGTACGTCATTACAGCGGTATGCCGATTTACATGCACCGCACCACGCGCGTCTGTACCCTGTCTAAACCTTACTTCTTAGGGAAGGGTAATACTAGGGTAAGTACAAGCAATATAGATCAAGGTAACATGTCTTCCGGAGAACATTTTATAATTATATTAAACATGTATTATGTACATTAGTCAGGTATTATGAAGCAAGATCTGTTGTAACCAGTTTGGTAGTTTTTGAGTTAAATAGTAATATACATTTAAAAATATAAATCTTTTCTTTTTTTTAATTTAATTGTAGGTAACTTCTCGTGGTTGTTTTAGTAATTTTATAGCTTGCAGATAAGACGATGTTTTCCAATTTTATGTAAAAATTACATAAATTTTGCTTCAGTTAATTAATTTTACGTAACTAAGCTTTTTTTTAGTATGAAATGTTAGTGATTAGTTAGATAGTAATCTTATTTTAATTTTAAAATAAAAATACATAACATGAGTCACCTCTAACTTTAGGTAGGCTCTGAGTCCTAAGTGGGCAATTATAATGAGCTGATAGTGAATAAGAAATTAAATTAATTTAAAAAATATTCCAGAGACATGATATACCCATCAGTGCTATACCCTGTCTGTCGTACAGACGTGCTTTAGAAGAAGAACAGAAACAGAAGGAGATAGATCAGAAAATACAAGAACAAATCAATAGTGGTGCGTGGGCAAATCCTAGTCAAAGTAACTCTACTATCAGTGACAATCAAAATAATGATAATGAAACAATTGTGAAACAAGAGACACAAATATTAGATATTGATAAAGTTAAAATTGAAAGGAATGATGATGAATTTTCTATTAATGGGAACAAAATAGAAGCAGTCGAAGTAGAAATTAAAGGTATAAAAGTAAGAAGTGATGCAGAATTATTAGCTAGAGATATTAAAGTTGATGAAAATAATCAAGATGATACCGCAGATCAACCAAGGTGTCCGTTTAACGGGCAAGGTACTAATGAAAGTTCAGAAACCCAAAGTAATGAGATACCATTGAGTAGACAACCGGTGGTATTACCTGGAGGCATAGTGATGCCACCACCGAGAGTGGAATCAGTGAACTCAAGCTGGAAAACTCAACATTTGACTCCGGAACAAATTAATGATTATTGCAAACGTCTTTTCAAGTTTAGAACTGTTAATATTATGCATTTCAAGTAAGTAGTTGAATTTTTTTACGTCATGGTCAAGTAGTAATGTAATGTAACAGTTTTAACAGGGGTAGAGCCCGCTTTAACATCTCCGCACGAATTGTCCCGGCTCGCCCGGTGAAATACCACGACCACACAGAAGACAGGCGTCAAGTGGAAGCTATTCCGCGTACAGTCTGATGAGTGTGCGTCCCGGAGGCCTAATTTAGTCCTCTTTCCCTTCCCATCCTTTTTCTTATAAGAAAAGAATGGGAAGTGGAAGTGGACTTTCCGGATGAGAGGATGCATGGAAATGTTTTCTTTCTGTGCATCCTCTCCTCCGTCGATTAAAGGTAGGCAACGCATATGCAATTGCGTATGTCTATGGGCAACTGTCACTTCGCTATTTCAGCGATTTCAAGTGACCGCTCGATCGTTAACCACCTTATGATATTTCTCTCATAATGATTAAGTGACAATCAATAGAATTGAAGTTTGACGTGTCCTTTCAATGAGTCTTTCCTATTTGTTCCAATAAGTGTCAGAAATTTAATTTAAACTAGGGTAACAGTGAGTTTTAATTTGTTTTTTTTTTCTAAAATAGGGACAGTAATTTTGTAATTTATTTATTTATTAATTTTGTTTTTTAGTCGATGGGCAGATCGTCGTAAATACACTAAAGCAAGAAAGACTTTGCAATATCCCACATTACCCGAGGGAACCAAGCTGATCACGATACCCGCGCAGAACACGGGCACGGAGAATGGTATGTACTATCAGGGAATTTGGTGGTATTCCACCTCACAACGATGGACACAGCTTTTAAATGTGAAACTACAAAAAAACTATATATGACCAATTGTCATTGTTGTTCTAACTCTACTATCTAATAGGTTATTTTGTAAGAAGAGACGTAGCTTGTTCCAAGGAACGATACAATTTTTCTGTAAGTTGAACACCGCAAAAGGCCCTGACTGTACTTATACTCGCAGCTTACATAGCCTTGACGTTTATTAAACATTGTTATCTTAATATCTACGGATCTAATAGCTAGAAAAATAAATAATGATTAGCATAGACAAGCATCGGTCCAGACTGACGAAGCCTAACCTCAGTACACTTGCGTTTTCTGACCACTGACAACTAGTCAAATCTACTTTCATACTAATATCATGTCTTTTATATCGAATAGTCGTGTTTTATTATCATTGTTAAATCTTATTTATGTCCAGGCAACAAGACGGCAAAGCGTGATTGGGTGATGAACATGAACGGGCGCTGTTATCTGTCCGTCTTCCATGAGTATGTGTACCGCGCGCTGCAGAAACAGCCCGTCTACGAGTTCAAACAGCTTGGTAAGCAGAAATAAAAGTGCCCCTATAGGGGTAATAAACCCATTTGGAGAAATAATTGCAATAGTTATTTATTTTGTATAGCTCTTCGGATTAAAATAATGGGCCTTGACAGACAGACGGACGGACAACAAAGGACAACAAGTGATCCTATATATATTATAAGGGTTCCGTTTTTTCCTATGAGGTACGGAACCCTAAAAATGTTATTGTATAGTGTTAAAACATCTCTGTGTCAAACATATCGTTATCTCCATTAACTTTGACAAAACAGAAATATATGTTTAAAAGTGACATTTTAGTGTCAGAAAGCCACGGTAAATAAACAGAACATAACTATATGTTTCAGAGAACGCATCAACACCGTACCAGGCGACAGTGTACATCGGCGGCATGCAGTACGGGGTGGGGTACGGGTCCAGCAAGCGGCAGGCCAAGTCTGCGGCCGCGCGCGCCTCCATACACATCCTCATACCTGAGATGCGCGACCAGATCGAGCCCCCCCCCGCACACCAGGAGCCGGACTTCTCGGTCAGTTATACATACTATTTCTTTATTTTAAAAAAACTTTATAAGTAGCCTATGTGGTCTTCCAGACTATGTTCTATATTTATGTAAAATTTCATCGAGATCCGTTCAGCTGTATTGGAGATACCTTCAAACGAATATTCATATAAATATTCGTATTTATAAAATTTGTAAGATAAGTAGGAAAACGAGAAAGCGGCAATCTGAGTTCGCCGAAATTGCGAATCGACCGTTATTCATACGCATCTGCAGTTGTATATGTATTGCCAAATTGTAATCGCAGGGGGAAGGGACGCACAGAAAAAGAATAATTCCCCTGCTTTTGCGTCACCTCTATCAAATCTAATTTCCCTCCCCATCCATCTTTTAAGAAAAGAAGGAAAGAGCACATTGTATGATGGTTTCAGTTCTTCGACTACGTGAGCATCGAGGACCCGCGTATATCAGAGTTCTGTGCGGCGACGTGCGAGCCCTCCCCGCACGCCATACTGCGCACTTGTCTGCTGCGCAACTTCGGCGCCGGGGACAGGCACATACATACTGAGGTACACACACCTTCATATTGCGATGTGCACGTAAACACGCACCTACACGTATACGCACGCATATACGTATGCGTGTACGTATAACTCTTTTCAATTATCTTGGGCGCTCAATGTCATCGGTGCATTGTAATCCCACTGCATCCCGCTAGACCTTTTTTCCCTGATCAACGAATTGTTGGAAATTAAGAGCTGCCAAGATATATGAAATCATTTATTCAAGTAATTATACTATTATGAAATAAAATATCTTAAACGTGCAATCATCGTACGATTGTATACTGTAAGGATGTCATGCAGTTCTTATAATTAAATTAACAAATAAATATTTAAGGTTAGTTGAAATGTATTTAATTGCAGATGAAAAAGTTGGAGTACCAGAAGATCGAGCTGACGATGAAGGTGGGCAAGCACAGCGCCACTGTCGTCTGCAAGAACAAGAAGACCGCAAAGCAGCGCGCCTCGCAGTCCATACTGCAGGTACACTCATGTTATTGCGCTCAAATGCTACAGTGTGATTAACCGTGGGTTTCTAAGACCAGGAACCCGTTTAAGACATTTTATTATCTTGGTTTTGTCTAATATAGAACAGGAACTAACCTTAATTACAATTATTTTATCCGTTCATTACTTTCTATGATTTTCGTTTTCATATTTTCTAAGACCTCGTTACAATACAATCTTTTTGGAAGCTTGGTATTAGGGCAATATGTACTTATGACCTACAGTACAAAATTAATATTTTTTTATCTCGATTATTTTATACTAGCTGTCGCCCGCGACTCCGTCCGCGAGGAGTTAATAAAAAACTATTGGTCGCAGCGTATTGTTATACAGCCTTCCTCTATAAATGGTATCAAACAAAAAATATTTTTTCAACTCGGACCAGTAGTTTCAGAGATTAGCGCGTTTAAACAAACAAACTCTTCCGCTTTATAATTTTAGTATAAATTACTTATGTTCTAGGCGTTACATCCGCACGTCCGCTCCTGGGGCTCCCTTCTCCGTCTCTACGGTTCACGTTCAGTGAAGAGTTGCAAAGAGAAGAAACTAGAAGAACAGCAGATAACTCTCTTACAAGATAAAGCGCGTCAGAATGAACCCAACTATGCAGTACTGGAGAAACTGCGCAATGAAATGCTGAAACTAAGAGAAAGAGACGAGGCTGTGGTACCTATTGGTACCCTCCTCCTCCCTGCAGATCTTCCCCCTTCAGCTTCCGATCTTAATCACGTCCAATTGTAAATCAGAAATTTCATAACTTTTTTTTATTAGAAAATTTTACTTTATCTGGACAATGCAATTTAGTTTAATCTACAGTAGTAGAATAAACTCTTAGAAAAACATATTATATTAGTACAGTCAGCTGCATAAAAATGCATACATTTTTTTTTCAAAAATTAGTGTTCCCCTTTCGGTTTAAAAAATATGTATACATGCATCCGTTTATATGCGTTCCAGTATTATACGTTATTGAGGAATTCGTTTATACGTATTTTTTTAAGATGTTTTTAAGATTTTAAAGTTATGTGACTTTTTGTAGCTGACTGTACTTGTTTTTGTGTATCGCAATATAAACCCGGTTACAGGATTTTCTCCCTCCCCAATTGATTTTTTTATATTCGATTATGCAATTAAATAAATATCTTGGTATAGTTTTAAGTGATGTAGTTATAAGTTGATGAGATTCTGGAGTGAGGGAGATGAACTTATATGCTAGGATAAGTGCGAGTGAGATAGGCATCTTTCGTCTTTGACGATATATGAAGGATGTAATAATTATAATCAATATATATGTTTAAAGGTGAGTTCCCACTACCGAAACATTTGTACGAAAAGCTTTTTATCTTACATTCTCCTTGAATAGAGAGATATTTATAAGGGGCCGTCTATAAATTACGTGAGGTGTTTAAAGGTAAAGGGGGTCAAGTCAAATCTCATCTAATCTTACGTTAGAGGGGGGGTCTCGGCAAATATCACGCAATTTTTTTCTGTTTGAAACAAAAAAAAGCAAAAGCACGAAGCCATTTTCTTTTTACTATAACAATCCAACGCGTTTACGTGAGAAACTCACATTTTGAAAAATCTCACGTGAGATTGGGGGATGGGGAAAGGGGTTGAATAAAATCTCACGATATCTCACCAGGGGAGCAGGGAGGGGCAGAAAATTAAAAAAAACCCTTCACGTAATTTATGGACGCCCCCTAATGTTTTATTTTTGCAGTGAAAATTGTTATTTTCATACGACTTAAAAATGAGTTCCTTTTACTTGAAAATTTTTCCATAAAATTTTGGACAATAGAAAATATTTTTATCTTATTATATTGAAAATTATGACGATTAAGATAAATAGAAATCAAGTATTTTAAATAATTTTTTAGTATTAATAATAATACAATTCTGCTTATTTAAAGTGGCATTTAGTTTCAAGCAATCGAAGAAGTATGGCAATAATATTATTAGTTTTTTTTTATTAAACATAGATATACCTATAGATAGTTAACGAAGCGCTAAGTGAGGCGATTTACCGTAGGTTTCTGAGACCAAAATCTGTAAAAAAACATATCTTCATACTTGACATTATCTTTTATAACAAAAAAACGTAATAATGTCTTTGTTAAAAATGTTTTAAGGTTTAGTTTAGTTTCGATTTTTCATACACTTAATTTTCCCGAATTTGGGAAAGTTTTTATTTACTAGTACATTTTCGTCACATGAATCGCTATTAATATATCTATTTTTAAACATTATTAATTACAATCCTTTGAAGCGAATGGCGCGCTTTGCAAAGTCAAGTGTCAGAATGATTAGTGAGGGGACATAAACGTCGACATTTTAGTAAGGCTAGTGTTGTGCCAGTACACCGGCACACTGTCGGATTTTCTTCATAACACTATCTATAAGTATACATCTATGATTTTAATGTGTTCAATTAATGTTTGTTAATAATACATATCTGGGATTGAAGCATCGAAATTAATAGTCCATTCATAAAGAAATTAATTATCAAAAAAATACAAACCAAACTTCTTCTTTTTGAAATCGGCTAGGAAAATAATTTTTAAATAGACGCGCTCAATTTGTGCTAAAAAATGAATTTTATATTTATTTTGACAAATAAATAACAGTGCTGCCAACATGTTAATACAATGTGAATAGATAAAAAAATGTTTATGTATGAAATTCCATAAGGTTATAAAATGTAGATTAGGTTGTACAGTAAATCAAATTGCCAACGAAGAAAATATCCCTAACACCCGGTTTCTGAAATACCAAACAAATATTACTATTTATTTAAAATAATAAGTAAATAATTGGTAACCATAAGTTGCTAAAACGATAGTTTGTTTTTAATTTGTAACAGTTATGACATTAATAGAATGACGTATAAAATTTGACAGATGACAGGCCAGTCTTTGCGCAAGCGACCTACTAAGAGCTTTCAGTTATTCTTCCCATTTTAAAGTCTAGGAAACTGGGTGTAAGTTAAAGGATAGATAATTGTAATATTAATGTAAGAAGTCATGTGAAAATTGAATGTTACTCGGAAACAATTGTTCAATAAATATAGCTTTGATAGTTTTGTTTTATTTAGTTAAAATAGATTTTCTTAAATGGAATCTTTATTTACAGGTCATATTGTCTCTGATATTGGTGTTATCATTACATAATAATAGAAATAAAATACAAACACACATGAAATTATATTTTTTAATAAATAGTATAGATAATATCTTCTAGCATATTCTACCTCCATCTTACAAATTCTAACCTAAAAACCTTATTTTTCATAACATCCACATACTTTGTAAAAATAATGAAATAAATTAAAGGTACATTTAGACATTAATTTAACTTATTAGATTATAAAATATGATTTTTCAATATTAACGTAAAAATTAAGATCTTAACTAAAAATGTATAAAAGGTTTCAAACGCGAGTTTAATTTAAAATTCGTTGTATTACAAATGAGATTAAATAGAATTTGTTTATCTAAAAATATTTACAAGCTACACATTACCTAAATTAAATAGTAATTATTAAATCTACTGGGTGACAGTGTCATTACCAGGGCGCCCAGGGCCGCGCGGCGTGCCGAGTCTCGCTAGCTGTCAACAGATTTGACACATCGCCGCCGCCCGTTGGGTATGCCTGTCAATGTCAACAAAACGATTGTTTATGGTTCATTTAAAAAAAAAATCTAGGATAAAAGGAGATGAGAGGCATTCAAAGTTACTTAGTTTGCAGCTTGATTTTACATCAGTCCATGTTCCTTTCTAAATCAAGTTGAAGGAGATTATTTAAAAATTTTGCTTATTAATTTTGATAACGGTTTCACGCTATAATACAGTGCTACTTTTTTTTTATCCCAGTGAAATACTAAATACTTCCGTAAAACCGTGCTCTTCAAACAGTGCGCTATCGTGCGAGCTTTTTTAACTCACGTATAAAAAGGCAACTAAGGGTATAGGCGGACTGTCAGCGAGCTGTATCTTTGCATGGCTCAATCGCTGATATTACAGCCATCTAAAATAAATACAATTAAATTTTAATACTGTGATATTTTTTATTCCCTTTGATTTCAATTTTTTTTATAGGTATATAAATTTGCAGATCGATAAGCCTAAATTAAAATTTTCTCGTATACAAGCGTTTATTGGCCACTCTAGAATCCCCTTATAGTGAAATATAGACAAATACTAATATATTTACTTCTAGACAAGTCGTTAACTGATAAATAACATCAACGTACTTGTGAAAGCCATCGCTGCTTGATGAAGTCCGCCGCGCGCTCGCCGACCATGACGCAAGCCGCGTTGGTGTTGCCAGACGGCACTGCGGGCAGCACGCTGGCGTCTGCCACACGGAGACGGTCGATACCTTGCACCTACCATAGAGAAAATTCAACATTTTTCAAACGATTGGTGACATTTTAAATGATTGGTGAAAGTATTGGTGATGTCGCTTAAAAAATTCCATTTTAAAATTAAATTCTCTTATCAGCAGTGTAAAAAATAAATGAAGGAAATTCTTAAATATCTTTTTTTTTTTACTTTTGTATCATAAATTATTCACTCGAAGTTTATAGTGTGTTACAATGTCACTATGATTTTCTATGATTTATTCATTAGTTCTACTACAGTTTTGTAATCATGACGAACCGTTACTTAATTTTATTTAGATTAACATCACAATGCTGTACATACCTGTAGTAGATGATCAACGACCGCATTAGGGTCTCCCCTGGGTCCCATCCTGCAGGACCCTGCCTGATGGTTCTCGGGGCCCGTCTGCATCCTCACCGCACATTCCCAGTACGCGTCACAACCGAATTTGAACTTCTCACAGCCTTTAACAGGCGTCTTGTTTAATTTTAAACCGTATTTTTTCAAAGCCTTGGTCTCTGATAGCTTAATAGCGAACTTTATACCTTCAATTAATGTTTTTACGTCATCCGGATGGGTTAAATAGCTGGAAAAAGATAAGACTTTAGACGTTTAATTTAAAATTCAAACTCTAAATACAATGTAGATTTAAAACTCTAGGTGCTCCTTAGTGTCAATTAAGAACTGTGTGTGCGACAATAAGTAGTTTATTTTCAAAGACCTGCAATGATTTCTAGCAAATAATTTCCAACCACAATCAACTCACTTGGCATAAATCTTCGGATGGGCGAAGGGATCATTGCTAGCTATCTCCAGATGTCCTCTGCTCTTAGGATGGAGTACTGCGGGGAAGATCTGTATGGTACGAGAGCCGTTGCCCAGACTCTCACCAACCATGCCAGTTTTAGCACAATCCGCCAGGAACCCGCCGAAGAACAGCTGGATATCAGGATTGTCGCCCGCCGGGTCCGCGTACTTTGTGTTTATAAAAGCCGTTACTTCTGATATACCTTGAAAGAAATGTACAAATTGGTGATAAACTAAATATGTTTTCTCTGTTCAAATAATTCAAATTTGGAAGAGTGAAAGAGACAAAAATATGTTCTTATCACTTTTCTTTTAATTTAAGTAAATTATAAAGCCGGCTCTATACGTTTGGCAAACAACGGCGTACAGCAAACACCCAACAACAAATATGAATGGGTGGATAGGTGTTTTTGTACCCAATGATCGACGTTGGTGTCAGTTTTTCAAAACAAATCAATGAACATTGAATAATGATCATGCCTAATAAACTAGCAAGTTCGCTAAACGTATGCCTGTTTATGTTGGGAGTTTGTGATATGTATAACAGTGGTAGAGCCCGCTTTAACATCTTCGCAAGAATTGGCCCACTCGCCCGGTGAAATACCACGACCACACAGAAGACAGGCGTCAAGTGGAAGCTATTCCAAGTACAGTCTGATGAGTGTGCGTCCCGGAGGCCTAATTTAGTCCTATTTCCCTTCCCACCCTTTTTCTTATAAGGAAAGGATGGGAAGTGGAAGTGGACTTTCCGGATGAGAGGATGCATGGAAAGGGAAGATATTTTCTTTCTGTGCATTCTCTCCTCCGTCGATTAAAGGTAGGCAACGCATATGCAATTGCGTATGTCTGTGGGCAACGGTCACTTCGCTATTTCAGCGATTTCAGGTGGCCGCTCGCTCGTTTGCCACCTTATGATATAAAAAAAAATTGTAGCAAACATCAAGCATGAGAAGCAAACTTACCAGTTCCAGACATAAGTCCATCTCTGAACAACAGATATTCCATAGCAGTGGCCCAGTTTAATGGCGCTGTGTTATTATCTTTAAGACTGAAGC